TTTAAAAGCTCCTTGAACCCCCATGAGTTCAAAGAGCTTTTAAAAGAGTTTTCACAGACTGCAACAGAGATGGTGAAGTAGAGAACTCCCTGTTCTATGGGTGGAACTCTGGCTACCTTATTGTACGGCCCAGGCTTTTGGGAAAACAGATCTGGTTCACAAGATAAGGAGCCCACCATGTGGGGCAAACCATGGTGGATTGTGTCTTGGTGGATTGTTCAGTCATCTGAATCTGAATGACACTTCCCTCCATGCTGGTACTGACCAGAAAGCAAGGGCATCAAAATCCCTGCCACTCCTGCCAAACGCACCCTGGTCACTGCCAGCCACCCCACATGTGCCCAAAACATCTTGGGGTGGCTGGCATAGGCTATTGTCCCTTCTTGCCAAGATCAATAATCATTTGTGGCTACTTAACAGTAATTTGTGGCTACTTTGCATTTTAATTTTTTTTCCAGGGATCATGGAAGGCACCAAAGGCAAGACACAAACTCCGTTTTGAAAGCTACTGAAAGTCCCTTCAAAGCACCTGAGCAGCACCTTGGGGGAACTGTCCATGACAGGCAAACATTTGAGTTTTATTTCCCCACAAACTAATTTTTGCAACCATTTGTGAAAAACTGTTTTTGGCTACACTGGTGTACACCGGGAAATTTTGGGGGAAGGGTAGTATTTACTGCCAAAGTACAGCAGGTACTAGTAGTGTTTAATATTGACCCAAAGAGGCTTTTCTTCCATTTTGGTTCTGCTCAGTAGCCTTCCAAAGGTGAGCTGTCAAACAAAACCAAATGCATGAGTGATCTTTGCTTGTGATAAGGAGGTGATGGCATTTACACCCACTTTGTGGAAAGACCCTCCTCCACCTTTTGCCCTAATAATCAGGGTGTTCCACATTTTGCCTTTTCCAAAAGAAACTAGGTGCTTGGGAATGTGCAGAAGTGCTTTCCACACTTTCTTCTATGGGAAAATGTTTTGACAGCTGTCACAACTAGGCACATCTTGAAAAGGGGGGGGGGGGTTTGACAATGGGACGTATACAGCCATATGACCTAGCTAAAGAATTTCATTACCCTTTCTATTCATTTTCCCTGCAGAAAAAAAGCAGGGGATTCATTTTTGTACTTTCCAAAGCACCTGGAGAAAAGAGATGGCATGGTGGCCTGGAGAGAAAGAAAAGAACAAAGAGGATCTTACTACAAAGGAGGTATAAATCACCACCACCTTTGTGCAAGTAAAAATCACTTGCACCTTTGCTTTGGTTTTAAAAACTCATTTTTTGACAGCTGCCAAACAAATCAACAGTAGGGAAAAGCCTCTTTGAGCCAGTGTCCAGGGATGGCTCCTATTGCACTTTGGCAGCAGGTAGGTCCCTGCTAACATTGCCCAGCTGAAGCTTCTGCTTTCCCCATTCATGCAACTACACTGGTGTGTCGTTGTGCAGGTGCAGCTATTTTTTTTCTTTTAAATTTGTAAGTATTTGCAAAATGAATTATATGGCAACTTAAAAAAAATGTTTGCTAGCCACAGACAACTCCTCTAGGATGCCACCTCGAAGGGTTACTTCAAAGGTGCTATCAGTAGCCGTTAAAACAGAAATTGTAAAATGAAGCTGTCAAGCCAAATTTGTTATCTCTCCACAAAAATAAAATAAAAAGGTTTAAAACAGTTGTTTTCAAACGGGGGACTGGTGAAAACAGGAAAACCACCTTGAGGACCACTGAGGCAGAAAGAAAAAGCCACCAAGCTCCTCCCCGCATCCCCAGCTGTACCAGCACACCCCCCTCCCCCCACGAACACAATGCCAGGCAAGGAAGAGGTGGTAGAGCACAGCCAGACCCCACACCAGTCTGCAGCAAGTGGGATGTGACTCCTCCACCCCCACAGACTGGCAGGAAACTTCTGGCAGACTGGCAGCAGTCCACGGACTTGTGGTTGAAAATTGCTGGTTTCAAGTGGCCAAAAGCAGCAGCGAGCTGCATATGTCTGTCACAGTGTCCCTCTGGATACTGCCTGGAGGACTGAGGGAGAGGGGGGGAGCGATCAACCCATGGTCAACACAATTGTCATCCGGCTTACTGTGGGTTGTTCACAGAACAGCCAATCCAAAGGGTTAGTCATCATGACATGCAAACCTGCTCACTGGGATGAGACCCACACCCCCTCAGCTTCAAAATGGTATTATATCAGTTGTTCTTGGGCCTTTCACCAAAAAGTCTCATTTAGGTTAGACATTTCAGCAAAAGCACACAGGGTTTACTTGTTCAAGTCTTGGAGCATTTTGTCTTCCAAATATGCAAAGGCAAATGCCATACAGAACATTTCTTGTATGATAAAGAAATAAACTCAGCCAAAATATAACCAATTAGACTAGATTTCAGTTTTGTTCTTGAAATTAAAAAGTTTGTCCTCAGATTAAAATAGCCGCTGTAATACAATAATGAGTACCCACCAATTTTGTTACCCAAGTGCACCCTTGACTAGTATAGGCCATAATCAGAGGGTTGTGGGGGGAGCATTTTCAACATATGCTTGAGACCCAGCAGTTAAAGAGGCTATGGCTTGGATCCAGATTTAGTCTTATATACAGCAGACCCACTGAGTTAGGTTAGTTATGTCTAACTAACCCCATTGATTTAAGTAGGTCTGCTTTATATATGACTAAGTCTCTCACCTATTGACTTAAAAGTCCTATACCCACTTATCTGGCAGGAAACCCCATCAAACACAATGGGACTTTGGAATCTACTCAGACCTAAGTCCTTCTATGTTCAATGATGCTTCCTTCCTGGACTTCCTTCACAGGACTACAACCTAAAACTCACTGATTTCATTTCTTTTTTTCTTGTGCAGAAAAGGTTATTCATGGAACTTTCAGGGAACTAGTCTTATCCCTTTACTCCTTTTCACATGTTTATCATCCTGATTCAAATTCTCATTGAAAAATACTGAAATAGCAGGAATAGTCAAATCACTGTTGGAGCATTTTTCAGCTAGGATAAGCTTTATTCAGGTCTATTGTTATAGGAAATAATTAACCTCCAAGAGTGAAGAGTGAGATGAGCATGCTTTCGTGTGCTCTGCATGGGATGGCCTCAATGTTCTGCCACTGGGATTTGTTAGTATCCATGCAGGGTTCCTATGTAATTTTGAATCCTGATTTGCAAGAGTTCTTAGTTGTGAAGGGAAGCCTACATGGATACAGAAGTCTCTTCACTTCAGAGCTCTCATGAGTTCCCTTTTCATTGATCTTAAAGTATGTTTGAGTTTACTTATGGCTACTAACTTTTTTAATCTTTAAGAACTAATTCTGATCCACTTCAAAGCTTTCAAAGGGAGAGATCATAATTTTTAATAGTAAATAGAAGTGTGTAACTAATGTTCTTCTGCATACAAGGTACACATAAAAAATTAAAGTGCAAATTATACTTAAGGTTTTAACCTTTTTCTTTTGTGGAGGATTTTGGGGTGTGCAATTTCCATCCATCAAATTGTCACTATTGACAGTTCTTCCAAAGCCAGCTGTGAGTCCATCTTCAGAAGTACAAAAACCTGGTGTTTCCATGAACATGCCTCTAGCATCATCTGGTATCAGGCACTTAGACTCACTTATTCGGAATCCACCTCCTACCTCCAACTGGTGTGAAGGAGTTAAGTCCCTCAAATTAGAATTAATTGAGAAATTTACTCCTGTCCTGTCAGGACTTTTTACCCAGGTAGAATAAACTGTTCCACGTCCACAGTGAGAAGTTTCCAGTTGGTTGTTTGCATCAGTCCGATCATGGCAAGGGGTGTCCAGGGTTTTATGCAGTGCACTTTGCTCAATTGCTTCAAGTCCCAACTGGAGATCTGAGGCAGTCTCCTTTTCTACAGAGCACTGCCTAGTGCCATCAGTCCTATTCCTTGGACTGGAATATCCAATAGTCTTTATTTCTTGGAGGCACATTTCTGTAAGATTAGAATTTCTGAAAGGGTTGAGAGCTAGCATTGCTGACGATGATCGGTCATATCCCTACAGAAGGAAGAAATAATATAACAATGTTTGGAAAAAGTGAATGAAAATGACACCATGTATTAGCTTCTCTAGAATTATTTGCATGTTATCATTTGACACCATGGAAGCTAAAAAACAAACCAAACCCCAAACCACCCTATTCTGAACAAATCCATTCTAAATAATCCAAAATCTGGAGATATAATGCAGCTGATGATAAGCTTGCTTATTCATATAAAAGAACTGGCATAGAGTACTAGCAAGAAGAATGAAAATCGCAGGATTCAGAATACTGGATACATCAACACAGTAATCAGATATTCAGAATAAATAAATCTGAAATAGGGTATTGAACTCATTTATCTGTCTATGAGGACTGGCATGGAGCTGATAAGTATTTTTAAAAATGCTGAGAAACGATGCATCTGGAATAGTTAGCTGAACTGACATGAGTTTCATACAATGGAAATAAGAGACCAGTGAATTCATCATGTTTGTCACAGCTGGAGTTTCAAAGCATGTAAGTTACAACAAACATCTGAGTATATTACAACTTAAACCATTTTTACAGTTTGTCAACTAATAGAAAAAAAAAAATAGAACCTTGGTTGAAACTAGCTTTGTCATACAAGGATCACTGGCTGCTTTCTTATAACAAGTCAGAGAACTGTTCAATATTGTCTGCACTGGTAGGTAGGGCAGGGATTCTTTCTCTACCTTATCAAAAGATGCCAGGGATTAAACCAAGGATCTTATGAATGCAAAGCATACACTTGCTATTCTATTGCCCCTCCCTGAAACAATTGCTAAGAACAACTGCTCACACTGAAAGAAAATGAAAATAGACCAAATCCAGGCATTCCCCCATAGCTTTCTTAGAGTTGCCTTTACCTCTTGATTATATGTTCGCCTCTTAACTTCTGGGGAACTTTCAGGTGAAGAAATGTTCTGCACCAAAAAAGTTAACAATGACATTTAACACAAAAGAATGTTGGATTATAAAAAGATACAAAGAGTAAATAAGAATGATTCCAATGTTCAAAACAAATGAACTTTATTTTCTATTGGAGGCTGCCCTATGCGGTACAAACTTGGCCACTGTAGGTTATTCAAGGTGAAATAAGCCATGATTACTAGTAGAGTTATGTGAGGGTTGTTTCACCCTAGAAAAACCCTTGATGGCTGGGTTCACCTAACACTTGGATCGTCCTGGTTAAATATTTAATATGACACCACGTGCACCCATGGGTTGATGTTTTAGCTGTTGTGTGAACCAGCTCATTCTCTTATTGTAAAGATCAACTTTTGGGCAATGAAATCCTATGGGACTGTATTACACTTAGTGGCATCTAAGTAGCACAAGCAGCTTATACTGAAGTCCTTTTACACTTGCAGTATTTTGAAGCACTAGTGGTGCCCTAGTTGATGCAGTGAGACTGTGTTCTTCCCTGCAAGGCTTAAGGGTCACTGGCAGCTCCTAATCATCAACAAAAACCAAGTCAAGGATAATGTTTGCCTTCAAACACTATTCTTTCACATACATAAATGCAAATGGAGCAGTAACAAACATAGAAATAAAAACCTTGAATAAAAGGTAAAGGTTTCCCCTTGATGTGAAGTCCAGTCATGCCTGACTCTAGGGGGTGGTCCTCATCTCCGTTTCCTAGCCGAGGGAGCCAGCGTTTGTCTGCAGACAGTTTCCGTGGTCATGGGGCCAGCATGACGAAACACCGAAGTGCACGGAAAGCTGTTACCTGCCCACCAAAGTGGTACCTTTTTATTTACTTGCATTTGCATGCTTTCGAACTGCAAGGTTGGCAGGAGCTGGGATGGAGCAATGGGAACTCACCCCATTGTGCAGATTTGAACCGGAGACCTTTTGATCAACCACCCCAGCAGCACAGCAGTTTTTAAACCACTGCACCACCTGCATCCCTTAAAAACCTTGAATATATAACACCTAAAAATATGTCTCTTGCTCTCTCCACCAGTGGATAGGCAAAGGCACACTGTCTCCGATCCTAAAAGCAACATAAAGGTCTCATGACTAGTAGCTGATGATTATCCATGAATCTGTCTTGTCCCTTGTAGAGTCATCTAAGTTACCATCACATAACTCACCACTGTGATTGTATTTGTCAGACTGGTCATTACATGTATTACATGTAAAAGGTTTACTTGACAATGAAAGTGGATTGATCTGGGAAGAGCATAGTACACACAAAGACTCACCTCAAAGTGCATTGCATTTCCATGCACAGATGGAATCACTGGAGTAACTGGTGAATAAATGGGCTTATAACCATTCCTACAGGTTTCATCTTCTGCTTTAATTCTAGGAGGGGTAGCAAATAACAGTGGATCTGAGGCAGACAGATCAGCATGTGTTGGTGTGGCATATGGAGAAGGAGTAGGTGTAGAGGTTTCTAAATAGAGAGAATCCAACAGCTGATACAGCCTTCGTTTCTTTAGGGGTGTGGTGAGATCTGTGTATATTAAAACAAGAAAAAAGCAAAGAATATATGCTCAATACTTGTTTTAGTTTAAGAGAAACTTACATATACATCTTATTTTCACATAATTGTTCACTGAACCTAGAACAGTGTTCAAATATTTAATTCTGTCACATGGCTGCTGCTTTGCTTTGATCTTTGGAACTTAAGACATGCCACAGCAGAAAATAGCCCACTATCAACAGCAAAAATGGAGAATATAAGAGGCAGAGGCTGAAAACCCTGCCCCTTGTTTGAAAAATGATTAAAGACTTTGAAGACTGATTAATTGACTCTCAATTAACAATTAAAGAGTTTGAAAAGTGACTAAAGAATTAGAGACAGCTTTATAGTCTGTGAGGGGGAAAATTACCTGGTAAGGAACAGCTGTCATTCAATAATAAGGGACTTATACTTTCACCATTGATTGCAGGACTTCTAGATCTTTCATGAGATGGTGAATTAAAACAATCTACAATGGCTGAGTTTTCTTCTTCTAGAGCTTGCTTTAACCACCGCTGCAAATATAAATACTTAGAATTAAAATCATTCTATAATCATAAAGTGGGCTTTCTAAATATATGTATAGCTACTATTTAGAGGCCATCCTAAAAAGTTTCTCACGTGCAACTCTGGTTCACCTCAAACAGAACACCTAAGAATTCACAGATTAATTCTGTATTTGTGCAAAGCTGCATTTGGTATGTTCTAGAGCTAAGAGATTTTAGGTTGAAAGCTACTGCTTCACTGCATGTGCTCAAGGAGGATCAGAGCCACACAAAAGGTGCACACAGCAACACAGGAAGTCTGCTTATTGGATATAAATTCTGCTTTACTTGGCATTATGAATTACCAAGGCTGCACGTCAAGGTATCTGTATTTTCTCTGGGAGAAGGCAGCAACATTCTTTGAGTACATTGCAGAAAACAAATGTAATCTTGGTCAGAGTTTTTATAATGAGGTTTGCTGGTTTGCTGCATAGTTAGGTCAACATACCCTGTCATATGGCAGACAAAGGACATGACATAATACTAAGATGACATGGCTGGTATTGTTCCCCAGAGCATCTAATAGAAGTAGGTTCACACATTCAAGAACCTTTCTCCAACAGGAAAGGCATATTTAATGCCAAGATTGATGACACATTGGACAATGCAAAAGCTCTGGAATATAGCTTGCAGAATGGGCTTAGGGATACAACAACTGTTTACTTCAGCTCTGTATTTGACAAGCAAGACAGTGGAAACTGTGCAGCCTTCACACCTGATGTGCAGTACGACAATACCAGAGCCTTCAGAGTGAAGGAGGAACTGATTGCAGCATCTTGGAAAATGGCAGTGGACAGCATCATAGACATGGCTGAAACAACTGGGAACAATGTCATGGCTAGGCCAAGCTTGAGAAAGGAGCAAGTGCCAAAGTCTAAGAGGATGGAATTACAACACCGACAGTTTTTGGCTAAGCTTGTTACCAAAGCAATAATTATGGTTTCAAACCATGGTCAGAACTGAAGCAGTTACTGCTGGTACTAAAGAAAGGCAGGGACATAGCAAAGTTACTGGTATCAGGGCAGTAACAGTCCAGGTGGAAGAAAGAGTAGAAGCAAGGCTACATGATGCAGGAGAGTCTTGTGGCTAGGGTACCGCAGATGTGGCCTATGTGAAGAATATGAAAAGGGACCTGCTGCAAGGTGGTACTCTGAAGCACGGTCAATATACTGGTTGCATGTAAGTCACAGTCCTAATACTATGCTTATGACAAGTAATAATAGTCTTGATCCTAAGCATATGCTGGAGATCCCAAAAATCAACACCGAAGTTCCATTTTTGTCTTCATGTAAAAAAGCAAGGGTAGCAGGAATCTAGAGAACTGTATTTAGAGTCTGAAGAACTGTCTTGAGGCAACTTATGCTGAATTGGAGGTAAATTCAGAGTTTTACAGTTTGGTTTTTATGCCAATTGATGCAATGTGTCAAGACACCTTCTGAGGAATAGCCAGTGTCATGCATATTGCCAGAAAAGTAAGGCCCTTGTATTAGTTGCATCCTATCTGGCAGAGGTATTGGGAAAGAGAGGAACAGTGATGGGGAAGGGATAACAGTTAATGGACGCAATAGACACTTTGTATAGTTCCCTGCAGCCACTGGTGGTAGAATCAGCAGTACCCAAAACACTTGAGCAAGAAGAAAATCTCCATTTTGACCACTCTTGCTCCTGCAGTTGAAGCACTTCCAAAACAGCCTTTTCAGAGCCATAAACCATAAGTGGTCTCTCTAAGGGAGCCCCGGAAGACATACATGAAAGGAACCTAAAAATGCGGAAACACTAGCAGATTGAAAGAATTAGAAGATAGGGGAGAAAGAATATATTAATAGGATTCAGCTCAGGAAACAAAAGGTGACAACAGAGAGAACATTCCTCATAATGCTTCTACCCTGGCAGCTGATAAGGAAGTGATCAAGAAAGGCAGGAGCCACACCCTTTTGGATGTTTGCACTGAGGGAAGCTTCCCACCTAAAATCTCTCAACTGTAGAATATTCTGCAGCTCTACACAGGCACAAAACCCATGTGTTTGATGCACAGAGACCACCAAGAAGAAAGCTGTCACAGATACAACATGAAACAAGCTAGAAACTAACTTTAGCAACAAAATCAGCTCCTGATGAGAGATATAGAGAGGATTAAAGCAGATTTGACAGGCTTGCTGCTGAAATGGCAATAACATTGGAGCCACCACTAAGATACTTTCATTAATAGCCACCTGCCAATTCCAGTAGTTTTGAATTAGCTATTTGTGTTAATTTCAAATTGACCAAGGACACATTACCTTCTTACAAGAGCCAAGAATGTTTTCCATGGGTTCTTTTCTTCGCCTCTTTTCTGAAAGGAATGGTGATGTAAAACGAATATAGTGCTTAGGAGTAGAATAAACATGCGGGCTATAAGTGAGACCTGGTAAAGAATTCAGCTGTGTAGCCAAAACCTCAGGATCTGTCGTTATACGCAGAGGCCTTTCTGAAAGGCTGTCTGTAGGTTTTCCTGTCTTTTCATTCTTCTCACTTAACCACTCACTCACCAAGTGCTAAACAGAAAAGCAAAAAGTCAAGATAGCACTCACTTTCATTACACAAGATAATCAAATTAATGTCTACAATGTCAGTGCATTCTGTACTAATGGAAAATGGAGGTACTTTCCATTAGTACAGAATGCAAATGCCTACTGACGTAACAGTATAATAAATAATAATTGCTAATACAAAATTCCAACTTGGGATACTTTGGAGTTTAACTGGTAAACTGGTAATCAAGATAACGGATGTATTGATTTCTCTGTCAAATCCTAGAAAAGGGTGTATATAGTGTTACCATATAAGTTTCAACCAGCAAACGTCCATACGTGCCCTCCCACCCCTTGAGATTGGCGGCAGAGGCCCTTCTCCGGGAGCCCTCCGTGAAGGACATTAGGAGGGTGAGCACCCGGAGGAGGGCTTTCTGGCGCCGTCGTTATTTGTTTTTCGGTGCCAGGCCAAGACCTTTTTATTTTAACATCATTTTAATTGTTCATTTTATTTATTGATTTTAACAACTTTGGCCAGGATGTCTCCAGCTGTATTTTATTGTACTAGTGATATTTATTTATTTGTAAGCCGCCCTGAGGCTTAGGCGAACGGGGCGGCATATAAGTCTGCTAAATAAATAAATAAATGTAAAGATATTAGCTCTTCTTTCAGTATAAACCAAATAAAATAAATAAATAAATAAATGTAAAGATATTAGCTCTTCTTTCAGTATAAACCAAAAATGTATATTCTAATTGTAAGACTTCTATGTTCCAAAAACATTAGCATCCATTTTCAACAAGCAGTTCAACAGTTTAAGTGGATGCAGAATGACATATGCATTAAATCATGCAAGGTATACACAACCTTGCTCAGTAGGCCCTCACATCTTTTTACATACGCGTGTCACTTCCACATCCCATGCACCCCATTTCCTATGTCTTTTCCTTTCTATGTCCACCGGCCTGCTGGGAGTGAGCCCTTCTGAATTTTGTAAGACAGAAGACAAATGTCTATGAAAGCATGCTAACACCAGGCTGCAAAACACACCAAATTAGCTTGCTGTCTCTGAAGCTCAACCTGGTTTATTACCTCCCAAAAAATACTCCATTGGAAAAACGACATTCACTTTGGATTATAAAAACATTCAGCCCAGTTAAAGAACCCCCTGAAAATCTTTATACTGCTCCCCTTCAATATATGTTCTCTGGATGGTTTACCAGGAACCTAACACCCCACCTCAACAGCAGTGTCCTGTCAAAGGTTGGAGGGATGTTCATGGGGCACATATATTGAGGGCAGGGAAGAACCAGATATGGGCAAGTTAATCCAAACAAAAATTAGTGACTAGCAGAAGGAATAATACATCCAGGGCTAACTGTTCAACCAGTACTAGATGGATCGTACTTCCCACTATGGAATCAGGTTTACAACTTGGAGGTACTCCTGAAGCTGATGCTTATCATAGATGTTTAGATGGTGACAGTGACCAGGAGTGCCTTCCTTCAACCAAGGCTGACACATGAGCTCCACATCTTTCCAAGAAAGGTTAGTTGCACATGTCTTGGTTCTGCCCTCATTGGACTACTGTAAAGTATCCTATCTGCAGCTGCCTTTAAGAAACTTCCAAAAATCCAAATGTAGTGGCAAGGGAATACATTGCTTGAATGCTCTACCATCTTCAGTGACTTCTAATTTGTTTGTGGGCTCAATTCAAAGTGCTGGCATTCATATCACTGGACCAGAGTACTTAAGTGACCTCCCCTAATGAGTCTCCTAGGCTCCATGATCACCCAGCCAATATGGTGGCGTTGTTGGGGACAGATGAAGGGACTTTTCCAGTAGTTGCCCCTAGAATCTGGAACTCTCTCACCTAGGATGTTTGCGTATCTTCCTCCATTTTTGCTGGAAGATAAAACTGCCTTCTTGCCCTATTTCAGTCAGTGTTTCACGGCATCCTAATTACCTATAATCTGCTCTTGCTATTTTAAATTATTTAACATTACCATGCTATATTAATGACCTTTTAGGCTCTATTAAGTTTTGACCATTTGTAGATTTTTTTAGTTGCCTTGCATATTTTACATTAAAAGGCAGTAAAAAAATATAAGGAGTGTGCGCTTCAAGTTCCTTGTGTGAACTAGAAGAGCAGCCTCAGGTATGGGAGGTGCACCCATATACCAGCCTGCGGTATATGCATGTGCAGCACTGAACAAGAAAATCAGAGCACTGTTTCCACTGAATATGGATTATCTATGAACAGTGGGCTGTAACTAAGCACAACAACAAAATTCTATGTTTAGGGTTTTCCTGTTTGTTTTGTTTTAGAATGAAAAACAATGGATAATGACCAGGGTCTACTATATGACCTGGTTCATAGGTAACAAGCATTGCTTTAAAAACTGATGGGTTGCTGTGCACATGGACCAGGTACATAGCCCCCAACATCCTGCTTTTACTCTGAAGTCCATGATCAACCCCTTTACAGAATATTGAGTGTACCATCTAAACCTGAACCACTGAGTTGTGCAGGAGCTAAACAACACAGCAGTAAACTCATGGTCTGCTGTTGGGTGTTTAACCACTGGGTTATTTAACTCCCAAACAACTCATCTATTCAGGCTCAGAGATAGTGTTCTACAATATGAATGAGTCATTCATGGTTTTTAAACTGTTGCAATGTTTTACATGTGAACAGTCCCCTCGTGAGTTAAAACCATTTCCTTGTAGGCTATCTGTAATTTCAAACAGATACCTTGGTAAGCAAACTCAGAGAAAACTATTGACTATTAGCATAGCCACTGCCTGATTTCTCAAAAATATGCCTAAAATGAATTAACTCAAGATTTTCATAGTTGTACCTATGCTTCATATTCTCTATCAGTGGAAGGCAAATCCCTGATGCAGGTGTCCTACAGGAAGTACTTTCTATCAAATGAAATTAGAGATCAACTTACTATGTCAACTGAAACTGCTTCCAGAGAAAGCAAATCAAATAAATGACCTAAGCTCATTAAAGTGCACAGCCTTACCTCTGTTGCATTATTATACTTTTTAACCTGTACTTGGCATATCAACCTAAATCTCATGGAAGATGGCTAAGGGAGTATAGGGATTTTTATTTGTATATGTGAGTGGGAAATATCCTGTCTTTCTTAAATACTGTGTGTCACAATTATCCAAAGACTTTTTGTAGCATTCCACTGTCCCACATGTTCAAACATCAGAAAACTATTGCTACTTCTTCCTTCTTAAAGCGTATAGAGCTGGTAATGAATAATGGTCCTACCTTAATGCAGTATCAGAAGAAATAAGTTTAAGTTTGGCAATACACATACCTTTTTTGTTTTAGGGTATTTAGTAGGGCATTTATTAAGTGCTGGAGGTTCTGGATCAGGAACTATTTCAGCAACAGTTGTCTCTGTTTCAGGCTCAGCTGAAAGTGCAGCGTTTTCAGGTTCATTGTGCTGGGAACTAACTTCCACATCAGGAGAGGATGGTTGGATATCTGAACACATGCTAACAGTTCTGTGCCGTCTCCGCTGCTGTCCAATATGAGTTCTGCTCCGAGAGAAGCTTTTTCTCTGTTTTGTCCTGTTGACTTTGGCAGGGGTTGGCTTGGTGGCAGTTTCCTCTTTTGCTGGTTCCTGCTACAATTCATGTAAGCACAAAGGCAGATAAATTATATACCTTCTATAACAATCTCAAACTAGAACACACACATTCAGTCTAGGTGCTTCCATCATTTTGAAGATGAAATCTAAACATTTATGTTCTACTAAAACCTCATCAATTCTGATAAAGTATCTTTTCCCATGTATATTATTGTTTACATTCAGTAATATGGATGCCTCCAGTAATATAAACACTGCATCATCTACTTTCAGCAATTCCTGCATTTTTTCTTGGTAAAATTCAGCAGCAAATTATATTTTCATTTTCATTAGCAAGTACTAATTATGATGTACTACTTTATTATGCATCAGTAACTATGCATTGTTAGCATAATGTCATCAGTGTTAACAATGTACCTCCATTTGATGTTACCACTAGTACAACACAAGGGCAGTTATATTTTAACAATATGCAAGTTGTTCATATACCATTTCAGAGAGATTGATTTTCATATGCAACCAATGAAAATCTCCTCCTTTGAGTCAACACAAACTTGAGGATAGCTCTCTCAAATCTGCTGAAAATTAATAAAAGTATATAAAACTACCTGAACAAATTCTGTGTCATTGATGATTTGCGTATCCCTGCATTCAGATTTAATTTCTGTTTTAGCTGTACTGATTCTTTCCAAAGCCTGCTCTCTTCTTTTTTCTCTTTTTTCTAGCCTGGCAAAAGCTTGAAGGATGGCTTCCATTTTCCGTTCTTCTCTGGTCTGAAGAATTTAATAACATTTATTTTTAAATAGCACACATCTAAGTCCATAAAACATGCTAATGTTCAGAGTATTTTTGTACAAGTCAAAATGATCAAGTAACAGAATCAGCACTGTCATCATATACTAGTTACTTACACACAAAGAAACGGTATTGTGTTTTGAACTTAGGGAAAATGAAATTACATTACATCAGCACTTTCTAGCTGAAATGGAAAATTAATTTTACAAGCAGCATATCTACTCAAAATTTACAGTAATTTCCTGAGGAAATGACATTAACTAAATTGAAGCAGAAATAGTTGAATTAACTTTATAGTCATTAAAGCAATTCTTTTATAACTATACAAAGAATATTTCATCCACACATCTAATGAAAAACATTGCTGCTGTAAAGGTATACTATGATTTTTACATGCAAAAATACTTTGCTGTGTGCTTTTTTAAAATACATTTATAAACACCTAATTTTTATTAAAATTAGTAACTCTGCAGTGAGATTCTGCTTAGTGACTCAAGTATGCACAAACTAATGCTTAATCTACTATGAGGTAATTAAGCACATCTTAAATGCATGTTGCAGTCGTCCTAGGCAACTATTCCGAATCTTGATAACATATGAGAAACCCAGTCAAATACCGACTCCATTGCCTCCCCAAACTGATCACAAGCTATGCATGCTGTTAAGCAGCATCCTTAGATCCCCTGCATTCATGCATCTAGTTCTAAGTCTTTCATAATTAAGACAAGAAAGGGAAAGGAAAAATGAGAATAAATCACTGCTGAGCTAACCAAGAATTTTTCAAGAAATTAAGTTCAATGGCATATGCTTTTAGGAGAGAGGGCATCACACTGTAAGGAATCAAAGCTTCCACAGTAACTAGGGACTACATACACAAACTGGCCTTATGAGTCCTGAACAGAGCTTCACCAGTACGTGCTAAAACTTAACTTTAGCATTATGGCTATGTGGTTTTATACGGACAGCAAAGCAAAACTCTCTACTGGGGTTTGTGAGATTTGTACCTGCTAAAAGGTCTTCAAAATTCTTCACTGCATGAAGCTCAGGATTTATCAGCTTCAGATATAAATTTCCTTAACATTATTCTTTCTTTGTCATGAGATGCCGGTAAGAGCTGTGTGCCTTCATCCCCCTTTGATCTTTGCCAGCAAATACCTTCCAACACATTTCATTTCATCTCTCCTGAGCACAATTCTCCCTTTTGCTAATAATCAAGCCAGCTAAGCCAGGCAGCCAGCAGAACTAAAGTTGCAGGGAGAAGTAATCGCCTAGTCTGCCCTCCCTGTACCTTCAAGAGAGACAGGACATAGTATGAGTTTACAGTATTCATTTACTGCCTTACCGAGTAAGACTTTCTGCACTGTATATATAGTCAGGACCCCAACGGCAGCACACTTAGCTATGAGGATATGGCCTGTTTTATCACTTCTGTGCAGAATGATTTTGTCTTTTCTAGCTTTGATTTTCCAACCTCCTCTCCAGATAATAAATGCACACATATATGTGCTATAAGAATCTAGAATGTTCATGTCACTGTAGATGGTGGCATAATTTTCAGAACTTTCTATCAATTCAGCCCCCTGAAACTGCACCTAGATAACACAGGATCCATAGTAACAGTCCACCCGTATAACACTTTTCAGCATTCTGCCCCCACAGAACCTATTTTTTCTTTTCCCTTACACTGGGGAAAATGAATGGCAGAGAACATTTCCCTAACAATTCTAGCACACATGTTCTTTATGATATTAATTAGTTAATTACCTATTAGTGATAGGTCCCAAGATTACCACAGCAGTAATTAAAGAGATAATACCTACTAGTGTAATATCCTTCTGCCATTTTAGCACAGGAAATACATGCAACTTTCATGTTCCCTAGCATCAAAAGGTTTCCTTTTGAAAAGAAATAACTTGAATACCCAAAGGACTAACTTATATCAAAAATATTAACTTAGAAAACAGAACTTTTACAAAAGGCAGAATATGAGTCCAGTTCAACATGACCAAGATAAAGAACTATTATAGGTAAAAATGGCTTTTTAGCATAGGTAATGTAAACCTTCTGAAACATAAGGTTCTCCTTCAGTCAAATATCATGCTTATCTGATCATAAGAGTACTGGAAGAAACAAGCACCACCCCCTCCATGCACAACCCTTTTAATAACGCCTCCCTCCAGCCATCACGACAAACATTTCTGTGATCAGAGTGATCAGATTGAGCCCCTTTAAGGAGAGTGCTAACAAAATAGATGCATATGTAAAACTCAAAATACTATACACATGCATGGCTGCCTCAATATTGCAGTGCAAATGCCCACCAATCATTACTTTTCTTGCCTATAAGTAAATAAATATATAGACTTAATGGACATGGTATTTATTGCCTACACAATGGAGATTTCGCCTAAATTTTACAAGTGTGCTCTCAGCATTCATGTAGTAGCAACACAAAAAATTGTCATTGCTCTAGCTGTCATAATTTAGCCTTCATAAAAATGTGCTTGGAAAGCTGATCAAAAACTTCAACCTTGGGAAAAAACTGAAATGCCTTCCTATTGGTCTACATGATCAGTGCACTACTCTCCAGCAACTACAGATATAGTTGCAGCTAATTTGATTGCATTTTTATTCTCCTTTTCGCTTCCTCTTTTATCTCTGCTGTCACCTGCCAAGCCCCAAAGGCTGTCAGGTACATAAAGTCAGTAAGATGAACTATTTCTACAGAGGACAGTATATAAAAACATGTATAAATAAATCAAAAATAATAAAATTTCAAGCAGGTGGAAGATGGGGGCTCTCCCACCCTCCAGCTGCTGTTACTGAGACAGACTATCACCATTCCTCTCCTGCTTTACTTTTTCTAGGCCACGACACCCTGACTTTACAGGACAAAGTTTTGTGGATCTGAATGTTGCAATATTTGGGTGAGAGTTGTGGTGGGGCATATGCACAAATCTCTCCCTTTCTCCAGTGCTCTACATAGTAAATGGTACTTAACAAACATAGTCACCAACAGTTAAACCTATTTTACAGAGCCCTAGGTGCATACAGAACATAACATCACACACAGATTATACAAGACACAAACAAGGAAACGGAAGAGATGAAGGCAAGGTGGTACAAGTGAGGAAAAGATGCAAAGATGTAAGGGGACATGAAGAAAAACATATATTCTGACTGTTGTGCTGCAAAGCTTTAATGATAAAAGCTTGAATGTGATAGAAAAGGCAACCTAAATAAAGCATAAAGATTTAAAAGGGACCAGAACATGATCATACCACTACATATTTTGAATAAACTTGAAATGGGAAGGTACAAAGGAAGAAAAAGGCAACATGGAGATAGTCTAGCTAAAATACCCTGGTCCAGAGCATGGATAAAGGTTTTCTGCTTCAGATCCAGTGAAAAAAGGGAAGACAATTATTATTTATTGTCTTTCTGCCAAAACAGTTTACCAGTTCAAAATACTTTTTTTAAAAGGTTACCAAAAATGTAAAATAGGTCTCTCAGTTAATTGATGGTATCTTCAGGAGATAATGGCACAAACTGACTGGCCTGGCTTCCTTACTTCGAGTTTTCCCCACAGAGTACAGGAGGCTTATATAGCCCCTGAGAGATACTGGACCATGGGGTTAAATGAAAAGGAAGACAGGGCAAGTTCTGACTGAGGCTTATGAAAGAAAAGTGAAAGACTCTGAATCTAGTATGACAAGATCACAGGCCAGAAGAATTTGGATTAAAGGACTGGAAGTGCCTCCCATCAGCAATATTCAAAATACTCAAATAAGTATCAGTAAGACAGGTACAGTATTAGGTAGAAGAATATCAAGCAATATAGAAAACAATAGATTTTGCTAATCATAACTAATGAAACTTCCAAGAAAGAAAAATCATACCAAGAGAGGTAGAAGCCCATGACCTGTAGGAAACCCAAACTGAGTGTCGCTTGTTAAAAATTAGGAGGAAATAAAGACAGACAAAGCATAATATCTACCAATCATACACAATGAAAACTGGAAGACTGGATTAAAAATTGTAGCAGACCAGACAAGCTACTAAGCAGCTGCCACATCCCAGTAATTTTTTCATGCCCAAGAGGGATGCATTTAACTATTTACTGCACTGCTCAGTCCCCTTTGCAGCAACCTATTAAATGAGGGTTCTTCCACCCTCATGCCTTACCCCAATCAAACCGATGTTTTCCTCATTTGCCTAAGCCACTGCTCAAAGTTCCGTATTTCATAACAAAACAAGGCACTATTCATACAGTAAATTAAGCATGCTTTACACTTTTTTCTAATTTTTAAAAGTTCAGGTAAAGGTATCAAGTTTTTTTCTTCAGTAATGCCTGCCTTCATATGGAAGCAGACCCCCCCCCCCAATCTTTTAATCAGCTTGAACAGCCCCTTATGAAAATATTAGGTTCTTATTTTATACATGCCTGTCAAAGTAAGTTGCAATAATCAAGGTCAAATGTTTTCTGTGAACTGAGACAATACATCTGAAGCAGAAAATTATTAATAGGCAAATTCCCAAGAAAGAAACACACAGCTGCTTTTCCATTAAGTAACACTCAAGCCAGAAGTGAACACACTCACATAAGCAAGCTTTAGATATGGTTAGCACATATCAAGGAGCAGATTTCAAACTCAAATGCTAAGTAATACCTAAGAGAAGTAGCAATGATTAGCATGGGAAGAGCAGCTGTCACTAAACTTTAGTGACAGCTTTAAGCAGCTACTAGCTTCCCAACTTACCATCTTCCTTTTCCTTTCTGCAATCTGCTCCTCTGATTCCATTTCTACTTCATTGCTAATAGGAGTTTTTTCTTCTACATCATCAATAAAATCTGGCTCCTGAAAGATGGAAATGACTGCTTTACAGAAGCTCTACTACTGCTGCTATAACCTAGGGAACTCTAAATACTATGATAGTAGGGCTGCAATCCTATACACACTTACCTGAGAGTAAGTCCCACTGAACTCATCAGGGCTTACTTCTGAGTAGAAAGGCATAGGATTGCATTATAGGAAACCTCACATCACAACTGCAAAGAGCTGCCAACCAATTAGCCAGTGCAACATGCAAAAGCTACAAGTAACAACTTGCATAGCCTAAATATAAATTTCCACTGACAAAAGCATCTTTTCTGCTCCAAATACAGAAATAGCTAAGTAAGTTTTAGTACTGTCTGAACTCATGCAAGCTGATACAATATGATTCACAATAACTGTCTAGTGGATGTTCAAGTAACTCATCATTTTCATCATTATTATAGAATTAGTATCCTAAACTACATTATCTAATTTTTGAAAGGTTTATCTCTAAACATAGAAAACTCTTTTACTTTGTTTATGCTAATTTATTTTATTATCCTTTACTAAACTGTTAAGCAATAGTCTAGTTTTTTAATCATTCTCGTCTCTAGCTTCACTAACCCCAATCCTATGCAAGTCTACTCAGAAATAAATCTCACTCTATTCAATTAAGCTGACTCTTAGATAAAGTGTGCATAGCATTTCAGGCCTAGTTATAATATGTATATTAAACTGTTTACTGAAAAATTGCTGAGAAATGTATCATTGCAGAAACAAAAAACAGTACAACTGCCAGAACATAACCTTGTTGTACTTTGTGTAGTTATGGACTTTTGACTGCATTAGGAATCATGCACTTTCCCCCTCTGATCTCTTTCAGATAGGACGGGGGAGAAAGGCAACACAATTTTGCATGCCCCATTATGACTTAATATTCTGAAATGGGTTAGCAAAGTTAAATAGTCAATGAAACAAACTCCAGAATAGTTTCTCTTGGGCTGAGGCAGTGTTGTTTTCTCTATGGTAGTTTATGCTGGCATGCATCTAGTCCCCAATTATGCTTTAAAATTGGTTTAAAGGAATGTAGGGTTCACAACTAGACATTTTTCTTTTTATATCATGAAGCATATGAATATGGCTGGTTGCCATGCAAAGGACAACTAGTATGCCAACATGAGAAAATGGGAAGAGGGCAAGTTTTTTATTCAGTGTGCAAATATGTTCACAGACGAACATTAAGTAACCTTAATGTTATGTCTTTGCAAATCAGTGTCTGTAGGAATCACATGCTGTGCCTTTTGAGAACAGTGGAAAAACAAACAAAAGGGTTTGTATTTTCAGATGAAGCCCCTCAAAGACTATGAGGTAAGTACAGCTAATGCTTGCTTCAAATTCACATATGCATCTCATCAGCCATGTTTGCATGCAACAATTCTGGAGGAACAAACCAGTGGGGTTCTGGCTTAGTACAAACAAGCTGCATCCTTGTGTGCACCCAGCCCGTTTGTTCTGTTTCTTGCCAGAGTGTCTAAATTAACCAGGAATTCAAAGTTTAACAAGTTGCCTGAACTAGGTCTCCTGGTCTGTTGCTTCTCAACAAGCCAGGCATTGTAAACCCAGAAGTAATCTTAATTTGCAATTCTGGCTTGTAAGGGATCCAACAAACCAGTCCCACTGCATGCCTAGTTACTTTACTGCTTCTGCTGGTGGCAGTGAGCTAAGCCTACGTAAACAAACTCCGTGTATAAACATGTTGTTTGTTCATAATAAGCCTAGCCTAATTTGAATTTTATGTCTGAATGTAGCCAATATAGTCATTTCCTATTTTACTCTCCATATCTCATGAATGTTTGAGCTGTGCCAAAAGCAAGCTCAGCAATAAAGTATAATAATCTATACGCATGTTCTCTGTTTTCCCAACCATCAGATAATTTCTCTGTAAGAATCAAGATAAATTATTTACAGCCCAAGTGACATGCCTGTGTCTAAAGATGTTATTTCCTTTCCATAGTTGTTTTTCCTTGGTTAATTTATGGAAGTACTCTTCTCAGAACGGTGAAACACATGTTTACAAATGTTCATAAGATCCTGTATCCTTTAAAATTTCAACCCCTTAGTTTATGGAAGGAGCAATCATTTTCTATGACATGTGACATACAGTGAATTGCCCCACAAAAGCAATTCCTTAGATCCTAATTTTATGGCAATTCTGATTCCTGATGGGCATGTTGATGACATAATTTGGTATCCAACACATATTCCCAATATTTGGCAAGGCTTCACTTAAACTATACTATATTTATAGTATAGACTCTTTACAGATGCTTACTATATTTATTCAATATGGATTTACATGTACAAGCCATGTACATGTCTGAAATCTTAACAGGCAATCATAGGCTGCTTAGGAAAAATATCCACTTCTGAGGAAAATATGGGTAAAATGTAAAAACTGTTAATTAAAATAATATATATAAATATATAAATTTTTGCCCTGCATATGCTTAAGATTTACATGTTATTTTTTCTTAGTAATAAGCCAACCAGAGGATGATTCTGGGACCTAAGGCACAGCATGATGTTCTTACATCAGTGATCTGCAAAAATATTTAAAGCAAACATTTTTATGCATACTGATATAATTCAATAAGGACAGCTGATTGTAGAAATCAAGATATTAAATACCATTTCAGGAAAAAAAGACCCAAGTAAAGCATAGAACCCCCACCCCTGCAGCAGTTCCTCAGTTTTTGCACCCTATTCCTCAGCTCCCATCATAGACCAATGAAGTGGTCATTTTCCCAAATCAAGTGCATACTGAAGCTGCTTGTGCAGAAGCTCTGTAAACACAGAGGGTCAGAGTAATATTTGTTTACTCAACACTAGAATATGCTGCAATACCTGATTATTTGAAATTGAAAGCCTAAGTGGAGAAAGCTTTCGCTGCCTGTTGTCTGGAAACTTTGATTTGTTGGCTGCTGCCTCACAATCCAAGGTGATGTTCTGGTTTTGAGTTTCCTTCTCTTTTGAAGCATCCCTTTCTTTTTTGCCTTTCTTTCTTCTTGTTTCATATCCTGTATTCATATTTTCTGTAGGCTCAGAAGCTTGCTTAAGAACTGGGCATTCAGGATTTTCTTTGAGGCAAGCACAGTCCACTTTGTATTTGCTTAAAAAAATTGAAAGTTTAATGTGAAATACCTGTGATTGTGATTATGAGATTTTTAAACAGTTTATACAATAAAATAATACAATACAATGATCTTACACTATGGTCTAATCCTTTGTATGTTTACTCTGAATTAAATCCCAGTGTTCAATGGGACTGCAGTTTCAAGATAACTGCTGGTTGCCAAACCAGTATTTTAAATAATTAACTAGTTATTAAATCAAAATTCTTCTAATGCCAACTAATGCCTGGTAGGTGCCAGGATCAAAGCAGGCTACTTAATTACTTCCATGTGCCAAAATGGGCTTGTTAAATAATAGCTATCTATGCCATTAGGGTATGGCACACAGATGTGCTCTTCAAAGAATGAACTAATCATAACAAATCACAGTCAAGTAGCTCTTTGGATCTTGGTTTGTGTGTTAAATGGAAAATTCTGCCATATTATTCATGACTGATACAGACAACTGAAGTCTGATACTGCAATTTAAAAGGCAACTGTAGCACAGTGACAGCAAATTCTGGTGAAAAACTGTTTTACAATTCACTTCATATTAGTGTCAATCCACAAACATGATTTATAAAAAACATAAATAGATCAAGCTAACTAAAACATTACCCTAACATTTGACGCTTAATATTACTTACCAATTGCCATAATCAAAATCAAATGCAATGGTTATTTCTGTTCCTTTTGGAATATTTTGGATGGAGTAGATGTAAAGATGAATAGTTCCATCTTCAATTGCATGCCTTACCTAAAACAAATAAAATACACATTTTAGCATGTTTCAGAATAAATTATAGATTTATTTCACACAAGTACTTTACTCAGTAACTGTTTCTTTAGTAAAGGTCCCCGTTCAGAAGTAGACAACAGAAGAGATTGGTGAATGGTGAAGAGTAGGGTTCCAAGCAGAAACACTGTCCAGACTTGCCTCTAGAAACAAAGCCCAGGCATTGGAGATTGTTCTGCAAGCTATACTGATCAAGGACTCAGCATTTCTCCAGTACTCAAACTGGTTGAAATGAGAAAGGTTGTAATGTTAAAGGTCCTGAGGGGTGAGCTGAAGTCAAGAGATGCTCCAGCTTGGGGCCAAACTCAAGTCAATAAATAAGAAGTCTTATCTTTGGGCCTCAGGAACAAACAGCTGCAAGGCATTTTAGGGATTTTTTTCCTGCTTGTTGCACTCAGTATCGACTGCAGGTGTGGAAGAGCCAGATTGAAGCTGTGGTCCAGCCAGAAAGCTGAAGGTGTCAGCACTGGACATGCAGATCTCCCAAGGGGGGCATGTGCAACCACATTCTCCATAAGATTAGTACAAGGGGGAGGTGTTCTCATGCACATAGCCAATAAGGCAGTGGATAGGGGCCTGTTTTGTACAGCCAAGCATGATGCCTCTAGTGGCTTTACTTTTTCTCACTGTAAAGGTTCAAAAGGATTTTTTTTTTGCTGAAATCACTAGCTGCAGAGTGAGTCTGAATTCAAATTCTTCCCTCCTTTCTCCTCCTGTACCAATCACACATACATGCTACATTTCCCATGTGAGATGTGATTTAGATGTGGCGATAACAATCCAATGGTCCCTTGACATTGTCTGTGGGTGGAATGATCACAAGATTATTCAGATCTCCAGCTAGAAGATAAAGGATAATACTCCAATCAGTGCTGGGAATCGGAGAGCTGATCCTCTCCTCTGCCCCTAACAGACAGTGTGGAAGAAACTGTAGTGGCTGCTCTCCAAGGTTAAAAAAGCAACCTTGGAGAAGGGGGAAAACAGGATGGGGAGGGGACAAGTCTCAGAAGGCCGGGGTTCAAGGTCAGGGGACTGAGGGCATCTCCACAGGATTACAGCTAAACAGCTGTGCTTCCTTTCCACCACTACATGTCAAAATTCAAAGTTTTTAAATTATCTAACAGAATGAATAATCTACTTCAAAGTCAAATCATACTTAAGGATGAAAAACTGTTCATTCTTCAATAAAGCTCTGCAACTTGTAACTTAACACTGAATATACTGTATTCCCTGACATGTTTTAATTTATTGAGCAAGTATTTTATTACTGAAAACTATACATTACATTGCTGAGTTGTATGTGGACAGCTGGTTTGCTTAGCAAAAGTGTTACTAATAAACATTTTTAAATGTATAAAAGCTTACTTCAGCATTGGGTGAACAAGAACGTCTGATAAATCGAGCTTCATTCCCAAAGGTTCTCGCATCCACACACATTTCTAGCCCATTGAGTTTAGAATAGAAAAGAACAAAGGGGTATGGCCTAAAATAGCAACAACAAAAACATATCATAGTTAAACACTGATAATCATCATTTTGTGTTTCAAAAGTCTGGAAAATATTGTAAAATTAGAAAACAAATTATTATGTTAGCAAACATGGTTGTTTCTTTCACTCTTGGTTCTTGAGCTGAAATCCTATATACATATATTTGTAATTAAGTCCAACTAAAAAAAGTGGGACTCAGGTCTCAGTAAATATGCTTAGGCTCTGACAAGTAAAGAAAACTGACTATCAGAAACACAAAAGTCTTTCCAGAGTGACAATGCAAACAGAAGGATTACTTATGTTTCATACAACAAATCTTTTCCCCTTTATTATGACTCGCCTTTTACCTGCAAGCAGCTGAACACCACTTATCCCTCTCCTCCATTTTATTTTCAACAATAAATGTGAGGTAGATTAGGCTGATTCAGTGACTGGATAAAAGTCAACCAGTGAACCTAACAGCCAAGTGGGGACTCAGAACTCAGACCACTGCACCAGACAGGCACTCTTTCATTCCAAGTTATTAAATAACTGACCCTACTTAATCAAGCAACATTTTGATCCTTTCTGTGTGTAATAAGAATCACAACCACCAAGCACCAAATTTTAGGGAATTCCTTGGTGTGGTTATCTCAGAGATAACCACATCCTGGGGAAAAAGATATCTTCAGGAAACAATTCACTTCCTTTTATGGTTTCCTGGATAATCTTTCCTAAATGTATTTTTATTTTGGTTTCATAACGTAACTTAATAAACAATACAATGGCGCAATTTTAAGTCACACGGATTCAGAGAGCATATACAGTTGTCTGATCTTGCTTTTACTTCAAGTGTCATATTTATGATTATAAAATAATTTTCTCTTTGATCCAGATAGTGATGAGTGCCTGCTTGTTTCTTTTCATTTCCTCTGGACAATTTGCACACATCTTTTGCTTTAGGTCATAATGGATTTGGTTTTACTAAATTATTTCCTTTTCCCTGCAGCTTCCTTTGGTGTGAGGCAGATTGCTGGCTTGTGCTATCTGTTTGTACTACATTACAAAGTGGATAATTGTTAATATGGTAAAGATGCTAAAGTACATAGAAGCCTTGCCTAGATGTAAACAAGTACAGATTTTTAAAAATGGCAGGCATGTTTGGTTTCCCTGTTGAGCTTTAAAACCTTAGCTTTCCACTAAATCATCACTTTTTAAACACTAGAAATAATCTTTAATGAAAAAACAAAATCATTATATTTTTATACAGTATTCTCAATAGTCATAACATGTACAGAATGGAATATGAAATAATCTGCTTTTGGACAAGCGAAGCAGAAGAGGACAGAGGGAGAAATTTAAAAAGCCTGAAAGCAATATGACATATCAAATGCATGGATTAACACTTCTACATGGAGAGCTTTGAGGGAGTCAAATGTGCTAAATATAGGTTCCTGAGACCTAAATGAGAACTATGTCAATCTTTGTAGTGATCGCTGGTGACTAGTTCAAAATGACAGACCAAGGGTTAACAGATGGGTGCGGCATAAAAATGTTAGAAATAAATAAATAAATAACAGGATCAGTATGGGCAGGGAAAACCCCCACACCAATTGCTCTTGTCTGAAGTAGTCTTTCCTTTTTATCTGTTTTCACATTACATTGTTACATTAGCTAGGCAAACTACTGCCCAGATGTAGGCTTAACCTAGTTTCTACTATTTTTTACCTTTTAAAAGAGGAAATATAGCAGAAAGACAAACAAAAGTGAGGAAACAGATGAAATGGCTTCAGACAATGGCAGCAGATTAGCATACAATGACAAAAATACTAAGAGACTTGAAGTGACAAAACTGTGGGGAGCCTGAAAAGTGATTATCATATACTTCATTCTATAAGAAATAACAATATTGTCAAATTATCAGACAAAATGAGTGGCTGCTGCATATTCAAAGGCAAATGGATTAAGATATGACCTGAAAGAGTTATTGTCGGGGCAGTGAATATTAAACATTTGTAAAACACTTAGAGAAATACAGAGTGTGCATGAACAGAAACAATTTAAGCAATATTTTAAAGCAAAGTACCTCTTAAAGAAATATCCATTTGCTTCAAACTGTTCTCTCAGCATGAACTTTCCTCGATATTCAATAATAAGTGCATCTGGAGGCAAGTCTTTGGCAGCTTTTAGGATTTTCTTATTTTTTTGAATATAGCTCTAGAAGAAAAGAAGAATTTAAGAAATCAAATTAAGCAGATGGCATTAGAGCTATTAAGATACAGATTATAACATACCCTTTAACCAACAACTTGGTAATTTTAAATGAAGTTTAAAGGCTAATTGACTTTATTCCTGAAAGGGCAAAATATTGTAATTCAGTATTATATTTATGTCGACTTAACTTACATTTTGCAAAGGATAATAACTTCAGAATATCTATAAACTCTCCAAACTGAAAACCAAGACAGATCTTTCAACGTATATTAAAACACCTTTCTTCAAAGATGTTTCACACCCTCTAGTTAAGAAGGTCAAAAATTGGGGTAGGGAAAGAATGACAATACATGAATATGCACTCTCTTCTCTAATTTGCTAGCAAGAGCAAAAGGACAGATGCCAAGTAAGATGCACTTTAATGAAAATGTCAACATGCTGATTTCTAGGAAAAAGAAACGTTTTTGTGCATTTCGATAACCTCATGTGGGAATATGCCTTTCTAAGCAAAATCTTACTGTACTCTGACACAACAACTAAGGAACTCACACCTCTTGTAATTGTGTCACTTCTGATCAAAAGAGAATTGGCCTATATCTAGGCGAAGGTCTCTGCAAGCAGGGACATTCCTCCAAGGAGTGCGTCACGTGCGCCATGCTGATGCTAGAGGGAAAGAAGCAAAGATGCTTCTTATTACAAGATCTGAGAATGTAACTTTCCTTTATGTTTAGTCTCTCTCTATCAACATTAAATTTATCAAATAGCTTGCAGATTCCTTCCATAGATTGTATGACAGGCAGCTGATGTCATAATTTTATATTCTATGCTTTTCTAATTTATTGACACGGAAATTTTGCTTCAGATTTGGGAAAAATGTTATGACATCTCTGAAGGTGGATTAACCAGGCACTTCAGAATGTCAGTACGAAGGTAAGGGTAAGACAGGAGGTTTCTAGCCATGTCTTAAGTACTGCCATTGATAAACCAGAGGCACACAACAGGATTATACATATATTGTTAGGAGGTGAGACTATCCCAAGTACACTATTGTAAGTGTACCAGCATGCTTTACACCAAGTGCCTTTCTCGTTTGGTGTCCCTTGATAAAAAGGATGCAGTATTTTGAACATGGTAAATGTGGGTATAGTGACAGTAAATAAAATGTAAGTACACATCATGAGAAAGTAAGACTCACTGGAGAAGACAAAAATGCTAGGGAAAATTGAAGGCAGATGAAGAAGGGGAAGATCAAATGTGAGATGGATTGACTCCATAAAGGAAGCCTCAGCCTTGAGTTTACAAATGCTGAGCAGGGCTGTCAAGGACAGGACATTTTGAGGGCACTAATTTATATAGTTGCCTTAGGTCAGAGATGATTTGGCGGCATGTACCAACAACAGCAGCTTAAAATGCACAATAGTTTAACTTTTTGCTTTGTTCTATTTCTTTTGAACATAGCATTATTATTGCTACTAATGTGTTTGTTATTACACAGCCATGTAGATCTCCATTTATTTGTATGACACCTAAAGCACTATACATCTCAGTTTTTTACTTTAATGGGAAATTCCAACCAGGAAAATATGGCACAAGCATTGAGAAGAATAGCTGATAAGACATAAAATCACTTCACCATATATTGCTTCTACCTAGAGTGATGCAATTATATTTTTTTTGAAGAAATCCATTATTTATACTAGGACATTTCTCTATAATTCCCAGATGTTTAAAAGGCTGAGAGTATAGATTGCTATTTTTATGCAGCTGGTACAAAAAATTCAGAGAAAAGTTTCAAAAATTCAGTGGAAAGCAAAGAGTTTCTATTTGTTATTTCTCTTAAGAGTCAGTAAGTTTTCCTAGAAATGAGGGATGATTTGGCCAACAGTAATTCCAGCAGGAATCATAGTATCACAAGCGAAATGAAAGCCATTCAAATGAAATCAGATACATGAACATTTTGTTTTGTTTTCCTGTTGCTCTTTGAAAAGAAGGGATTATCTAGCCCTCAAAGGCAGTTCTGAATAAGAGAGCTATATATATGTTTCTTATTTACCCCACGAGTACAAATACATGAGCTTTGCATCAAAACTTTACTGTTTAATTTTTTTCTGGAAGTATCCTTAAAAAACTATTGCCTTTCATAAGCATTTTTGTAATTATTTATTTATTTCATTTCTATACTGCCCTACGGGCAAAGCTTTCTGGGCAGATATATCACCTTTTAAAAGAAATACAATTTTTCTCAATACTTGTCGCTTTAACCCAAATTTTAGTAACAGGAATAACTGCATAGAATGCAGTGTAATTTTCCACTGAGGTTAACAGTGGAGAAGGGAGTATGTTTCTGACTTGAGCCAGCGCAATCATTAAGCTGCTTCCCAGGACATTAAAAAAGAACAATGCATGACAGTTATCCACTAGGTAGCAGTAATCAGAGGAAAGAATATTTTCTACCACTTACATGAACTAATTAAAAATTTTGAGGGAAGTTATTTACCTGTATCTTACCGCTCCCCAAAAGCTGGCACTGAGTTATAAGTTGACTAGATTCTGTAAATCAACAGCTACTATATGGAAGACAGAAGGTCCTTCTGTATGGTTCTGGCTTTTATACAGGACAGCTATCAATGTTGTCCTTAAACACATTGCATAGTATTGCATTGTACTGTATTGTATATAGAGAGCGTGCAATACACTACGTGAAGTTTATAAAGAATGCTGGGCCCTTAATGGAAATCATATTGACAGCTTTAGTTCCTTGCATGTATTCACTGCTTGTCTGCTTATATCAATATGATATTCCCTCCAATTAAGAAAAAATTAATGTTTGCCTTTTGCTTACATTGTAACTCTTCTGTGGCTAGGCAGAATAATTTATAGCACAATCATAATTATATTTACTCATACGCTCCATAGTGCTTACTCATAAGTCACTGCATAGGATTGCAGTGCAAAACTACTACACATTGCTACTATCACTTAAAGTTAAATGTTAAACAGCAAGGATGCTCTTGATTTGAAGAGATGTTAATGGTCTTTAAAATGTTTTCAACTGTGAGAGTTGACTAGTAATTGATTCTGATAGTTGAATGACCATGGCAAATAACCCATTCCTCATTCATTGTAGGTATTTCAGAATGTAAATCAATTAACGAATGAGGAAATACTTTCTCCATACTAAAAACGTTCAGAAAACTTCAAGAGAAAGATGTAGCCTCTAACACAGCAAACTATACTTCTGCTTAGAGAAGTACAAGAGTTTATGTTATAAAAGTCAGATTTTTTACCATTCTTTTATTTACCTCTACTGGAGGTTTGAAGATTGAACTGCTGGTGATCACTTCTTTTTTGTCATCTCCATTTCCTAATCTCAAAGCTATTCTTTGTGCCTCTCTTTGAACGCCTTCACTATACTGGTTGTTGTTTGCTTCTTCATAACGATCCATCCATGCCTTGATTTTAGTTTCCCATCCAAAGTTTGAACTATCAGAAGGATCAATCTCTGGAGCTGAGCCCTAAATCACAATAAACAAATATAAACTTAGAAGCTGTGTTTTCAGGGCAATTTAGTGTATACAAAGTTTTAGTATAAAATTCAAAGAAAGCTAGTTAGTGCAAATCAATGTGAAATTCAGCCTCCTCGCCAGGAATAAAACAGTACCTGCAAATTCATCAGCCTCTCATGCAGCAATGTAGCCCCATTCCTTCCATCCATCCCTTGTCCTGCAATCTGGCAGCTGTTTTTAACTTAAAGAACACGAACCAAGGTAGAAGAATCCTGATACAACTCTCTCACTGTTCATCTACTTCTGCCTTTTAACTTCGTAGTGTCTTGGAACATCTTCTCTGTTCTTGGTCTACTCCTGTGTGAATTTTTATCTTAGCCAGCTGACAACTTTACATTCTTTACAGGCGCTAGGCTACCAAGCATTTACCTTCCATGAGCAAATGAACATGCCGTGCCCCCCTCATCAGTTCAGTTAGTTAATGTCTGAAGCAACATACAATTAAATAGGTATGCTAATAAAATCCAACCAATATGGTCAAAATGTCTGAAATTTAGCAATGAGTATCTAGGTGATAGTTACCAATAGCTGGTGATTTTTCAACCAGATCCATTGAGAAATGATTGAGATACCTCAATATGTCCTCTCTTGGATCGAGTCTGGCATTTGGGCACCTTCCTTTTCTTTTTCTTGTCCAATTAAACAAGCCAAATTTTGAAGAAATGGCAGAGAGTTTGTCTTTTATTTTCTTGAAACTCAGTTATGCCTTTATAAGGATATGAGTTTGTTACATCCCCATTTAAGTAAGTCAGTTAAGTAAGGGTAGGTCATCCTGCAATTCATGCTCAGGGCCTAATTTAACTTTCCAAGTTCAGCCTCAACACTGAACTACAGAAACATAGGAAATTGTTTTATACTGAGTCAGACCACAGGCTCATCAAGCTCAGTATTGCCTGGCAGTAGCTCTTCAGAGATTCAGGCAGGGTTTTTCCAATCCCTCCTGGCAATGCTGGAGATCAAACCCAAGAACTTCTGCATGCAAATATATGCTCTTCATTGAGCTAGATCCTTTCTCAAGCATGATTGTCACTGCTAGACTGAGGAAGCAGAGTTCTACAAATCCACCCTCTACTAAGGTATATCATGTTCTGGACTCTCCAGTCTGAGTGGGGCTTGGGTGCACTGTTTTACTGTAGTTCTAGGACCTCCTGGAGGGAAGTATCAGGAAGTTCATGCTAAAAGACTCTTGTCAATTGTCTTGACTGTTGGGATTCCTTTAGCAATCTATTCTGTCTGCTCAAGGCTGATTAACATGTACATGAAATAACTGGGAAAAGTCTGTTATAAAATCCCTGGGAGATGAGGTCAGGAGGTACAGAGTGTGATGTCATATTTAGATAATACTTGGTTCTCTCTCTCCTTTCCATCTTGTCCCAAGGAGGCTGTTGCAACTGTGAAACTGTTTCAGGTTGGTAGAAGACTGGATCAAGATAAACAACTGTGTTCCTCTTCAGCAAGAACCCTCATTTGGAAATAATGGTTCTGGTTGCTCTGGATGAGACAGGACTTCCCTTGAAAAGCCAGCATCTTAGTCAGGTGCTACTGAATTCAGCTTTGATTATGGATCTCCAGGTGATGGCTATGGTCAAGAATATATGGCTAGTGCACAATTGTGACATATGCCTTAGTTTAATTATGTTTGCATTAATATAATGTGCTCTATATGGTACCACCTTTGAAGAGTGTAAAAAAATACAAATAGGCCACAATGTGGTGGCCAGGTATCAAGCAAGTGGCGTTCTTGTTGTAATATCTCAACTGGCTTCTAAATGATTTCTGGGTCCAATTCAAAGTGTTGGTTATGCCTGTTATAGCCCTATACCATTTACAATCAGGATACTGCCATTTTGAGCCTCTAGTTTGCCTATTCATTAAGATAGCCAACAGCAATCTTTTTGTGTGACTTAACAAGTGACTGCCTTCTCTATGGCTCTGGAATGTCCTTTCTTGGGATGTCTGTGTTGCTCCTCCACTACTAACCTTCCAATACGGTAATCCTTTCTGTTTTGGGACACATTTGGTCTATTAGTAGGGATGGGGAATACACAGCCCCCTAGAGGCTGGTCGACTGAAACTCCCATCTCCCCAACCCACCATAGCCAATGGAGGGGTGCTAGGAGTTATATCAACATCATCATCATCTCCTCCCCCCCCCCCCCAATGTTGTCCCACAGCTGAAGTTCTCTGGGTGGTTTACCACAGTCCATAAACCAGAAAATATAATGCAATAAAATATATAAAATCAGAAATACCTTAAAAGTTTAAAAAAGTTAAAACCAGACAATAGCAAAGAAAGACTCAGTAAAACACCCAGGATGAGCAATCCCCTCAAGCTCTTGGGCACCCAGAGGGCCATCTTAACCAGTGCAAGTGGGTCAGACTGATAATTTTGGTGCCAGAAAGGTTGCAGTGGGGAGGTTGTTCAATAAGCAGGGAGCAGCCACAGAGAAAAGACCTCCTCCTTGTTGCTATCCTCTACACTTCCCTCAGAAATGGCACTTGGAGGAAAGTGACAAAGGTTGAGCATAGTGTCTAAGTAGATCATAGCTGGGGAGAGGCACTCTGACAGTTATTGCAGTCCTAAGCCATATAAAGCTTTATAAATTAAAACCAGCACCTTGAATTGGGACCAGAAGCATACAAACAGCCAGTGCAAGTGGGCCAGAACCAATCTTATGTGTTTGGACCTGTGGACTCCACTTATTAGTCTGGCTGCTACATTGTGCAGCAGCTACAGTTTCTGAACCATCTTCTAGGACAGCCCCACATAGAGTACATTGCAATAATCTAATTTAGAGATTATCAGAGCACCAATTACTGAAGCCAGGCTATCTCTGTCCAGATATGGATGTAGGCAGACCACCAGCTGAAGCTAGTAGAAGGCCACTGAGGTCATCTGAGCTTCAGGTGACAAAGATGGATCAAGGAGCATGTGCAAGCTACAAACTTGCTCCTTCAGGGAGTGTGAAACCCATCAACAGCATTTGAGTCTTGTCTGGATTGAGTTTCGGTTTGATAGCCCTCATTCAGTCTATTGTCATGGCCAGGCATTGGTTTAGCACATCCAAGCCTCACCTGCTGATGATGAAAGGAGAAGTAGAACTGCATCTCATCAGCAACACACCTCAAACCTCTGAATAACCTCACAAACCTGGCCAACCACCTTGTCCACATCCTCAAGCTGTACCAAACTGAAACATAGCCAATAAAACCAGAGTAAGCTGTGCTCTGGATGCCTCCACAGATTCAGCTGCTTTAACCCTGGAATCCAAGTCCCAGCAGAGACAAGAGATTGTTTTTCCTGTAAGTGCCCAGCATGTTAATACCAGTAGGCCTGAGATGCTTCTAAAATGTCCCTGGGTCCAGAAAATTTTAAAAAGCTCTGCTGGGCAGCAATGGAAAGGACTGTGTCAACAAGATACTGTTTGTTATCCTCACTGCCTCATAATAAATTATAGCCAGCAACATCTAGAAAGAGACTTTTCCCATCCCTGGTCTATTGCCAGGCTGTCTGATCTCTCTTTAGTGTGTGTTTTGGCTGACCTTCTAGGTATTTTACCACTACAACTGCACTGTAGATAACCTCAGAGATCTTTGTGACACTGTGTTATGCTACTATTTGAATTTTATCTATTCCTTACTTTTATCATTTCATTACTGTTTTACTGTTTTTGTGAACAGTTAATATTGTTAGCAGATTTGAACATTATTCTTTGGGAAAGCAGGGTATAAACAATTAAATACAAATTTAAAAATAAAAAACAGACAAGAAAGTTTGACTGATAGCCCATTGACTCTCCTGAAAACACTATGATAATGAACAACATGGACTGTGAAGATTTTGCTGCACTAAAATAAAAAAGTAGCAAAAATTTAAACAATGCATTCATTACCTTAACTCTTGAAGATTTCCTAGAACCTTCTCGGAAAGCCTGAAACAAAATGTAAAACGTCAATTTGTAAGAATATTTTTAAATTCTCAATATTCTCAATATGAACTACAGCAGACAACAACGGATAAAACACATATCTTGCAGAGAAGATGTAAATAGAATTTAAAAGCATTTCTCTTCACAAGTGAGGTTATTTTTAAATCAGTATTACATAATTAATTCTGAGATCTGGATAACTTATTAAATGTTTTTGTACACTCAAAAGGCTACTACATAAATTGTGGGAACATATAATCAATGCGACTATTAAAATCAGCTATAATTTGGCAGGCAGGCAGAGTTTCTGTCCCAAGTTCGTTATTTCCACAACCTCCATCTCCCTTTCCCCAATCCTTTGTATCTATCTTTTTCTTGCCTTAAGAGTGCTGTTCCTGTGCACCACTTCATCTCATCTTTACCCTTACCTCAGCTGGCTTCTGCCCGTTCCCTTTAGTTTTATTCAGTAACAGCCCATTTTTGGGGCAATGTAGAGAACTGCCCCCAGATCTCAAGAGAATGACATTGCTTCTTCAGGTTTTTCACTGTCATATGTCTAAAGATTAGAGATCCAAATCAGACCTTATATCAAATTAGTGATATTTAGGCTAGAAAACATAAAAGGTCTTACAGAACAGCCTCTGTAAATATTATGGTGCAAGTTAAATTAGCTTACCTTTTTACATTTTGTGATGTTTTGTTCTTTCTCCCCACTTTTTTTCCGTTTCTTATCTGTGACTTTGGTAACTCGTGTAGCAGTTAAAGTAATTGTGGTTGGTGTATGCTGAAAAGCAGTATATAATTCTACAGGAACTTCATCACCACTCTCTGTTGCACTGGTATCCCCATCTGTAATAACACAAAGGTAGGAAAGAGATGTAGCTTATAATCATTTTTCATAATTATCTCTTAAATAAATGCTAACTGAAAGTTTTCATTTGCAAAAGTAACATCATTTATGAAAACTGTAGTAAATAAAAACAGTTAACTGATCAGGTTTGGGAATGGAGAGAGACAAAAGAAAAGCCACATGAGTTTTGCACCCAAATTAGTGAACACTTTTTCAGGGGCATAAAATACTATTTAAATCAAATTTTAGTTAAAGAATTCAGTTTCTTACAATAGCTTAATCCCTTTCTCCCTTCTTTTTTTGAGGTTCAATATATACTTACAATATAGTTATTATATTATTACATTACATTTATACTACATTTATACCCTCCTTTCTTCCTCTTGCAAGGAACTCAAGCAAGCCTACCAGTTTCACTACCTTTCCATTTCATCCTCAGAACCCCCTGTGAGATAAGAATCAATGACTGGCCTAAGTCACCCAGTGTATTTCATGGCTTTTCTTTTCCTTGAGCTAACTCTTTTTAGCCAACGAGTTTTATTTATAAAAGGACGAGAAACATATATGCTGGAGCATGTACTACTGTCGCCACTGTAACCAAAGAAATAAGCCATTATCAAGTTTTAAGCACTAGTAGATTCAGTAACTCTAGGAAGGGTGAAAAATAGCCTGTCCACAAGATTCTTCTCCCCTTTCATATGCATAAATGAATGCTTTGTCTTTCAACACAATGACTTCAGCTTTTTATTCGTTTCCAGATTGAGGTCTAGGTTGTCTAACAGGTGGTTTTCAAATATATCACAGATGTATCTACCCAAGTGAGCTTCCAAAAATATGCTATTGATTTATCAAATGCCTTCCCCAGCATCCACTTGTCTCTCAGAAGAACCAAATACAAGGGGTGTTCAATGTATTCTCAGTATCGGGTTGATTTGCTATTGATGTGGGTAATTTAATTATTTCATTAGCTAATGACACTATCTGAGGGTATAAATTTCAAATAAGTGTGATCATTAGTTCCCTAGTAATCCTCAGTGAAAGACGACCATGATGACTGATGCGACAATGTTGAAGAAAATCGAGCACAGCGCTGTAATTAAGTTTCTTACAAAACAAGGAAAAAGTCAAAAAATCATTCACAAAGAGATGGTGGCTGTTTACCAGGATTCTGAACCTTCATTATCTACTGTTCAAAAGTGGTCAAGTGAATTTAAAAGGGGCAGAGAAAGCACTGAAGACGGGCCAGTTACTGCCACTACGAAAGAAAATGTGAAAAAAATTGAGAAACTTGTACTGGAAGATGCCCGAATAAAAATCAAAATGTTAGCAGAGATGACAAACCTATCCGTTGGTACCGTATTTACTATTTTTCATGACCATCTTAACCTTTCAAGGGTCCCTGCAAAATGGGTGCCGCGAATGCTCATGGCACCTCAGAAACAAGTGCGAGTCGAGTGCTGTAGGGAGTTTTTAGAGCTCTGTGGTGAAGATCCATTGAGTATTTTCAACCGGATTGTTACTGGAGCTGAAACTTGGGTTCATCACTATGACCCTGAAAGTAAGCAGGAGACCATGCAGTGACATAAAAAAGGTGCTGACCCTCCAAAGAAATTCACAGTCACTCCATCGGCTGGAAAAATCATGGCCACAGCATTTTGGGACTCAAAGGGAATTTTATTGATCAAATACATGAAAAAAGGTGAAATCATAAATGCAGCATCTTATGCAACCACTCTGCGTAATTTAAGAGAAGCAATTAAAGAAAAAAAGCGAGGAAAACTGACCGCAGGTGTGTTGCTTCTTCACGACAACGTGCCCATTCACACAGCGTGCGTTTCGAAGGCTGCTGTGTGGGACTGTGGTTCTGAAGAAATAAACCACCCACCCTATAGCTCGGACCTGGTCCCCAGTGACTACTACCTATTCCTGAATTCAAAAAAGATCTTCGTGGAAAGCAATTTTCCGACAATGAAGAGCTCAAGGTGGCAATTAACGCACATTTTTTAGACAAGGAGGAAGGGCATTTTTTTACAGGGAATTGAAAAGTTAATTTCTAGATGTAGTAAGTGTATGGGGGATTACATTGAAAAATAAAAATTATTCCTTTTTCTTCATGCTGATACCGAGAATACATTGAACGCCCCTCGTATAAAGCCAGACATAATAGAAAAGGGGTTGTACAATTTCTTGATTGTCAGCTGAAACTTTTGGCCATTTTGGCTAAAGGGGCAGGACAGAAATAAATGGGAAAATGTTAATTAATTTCCTTGCAACATTAGGAATGAAATTAATTCACCTGAAATAAAATTAGTGTTTTATGAACTAACACCACCGAAGAAGAAGCAAGAATAATAAACACACACCTTTAATTCTTTCAATAGTTTTCTCTACCACTTGTCTGTCTCATTTTCAATGCAAACCCAGAGAACAAAATATAAACCTGCATCTTAGAAGATAGAAGCAATTTGTAGAAAAGCAATTTCTTTAGAAAAGAATTAATTGGAAATCCATCAGTTCCATCCATGAATAGAATCCCTAGCCTAAAGAAACAGAACATTTTCCCATTTGTTGTAGTAATTTTATCTGCAGTACTTGTAAAAGAAAAATAATATTGACATTTGCAAATTTCTGAACACTGAGGATGCTGTCTCCTTTCCCTCAAGGTTACCACCTGGAATTAACCTGGAAACTTCCAGTTCACCATGGAACACTTAAAGAAAAAAAATAAACATTCATTATAAAGTATTTAAAAATCATTCCACCCATATGCAAAAATATGAACAGCAGAACAGGACAAGACATGGATGAGAATATGTCTGTATAGTTGAGTATCAGTGACATATACCAACCTGACATATTTTCCCTTTTTCTACGCTGTAGCAACATTGCCCTTTCTTTATCCAAACTCCTGTGGAGAAAAAGAAATAAAATGGAAAACAAGTGTTAATACATTGCTTGAACATTAGAAATCTCTAAACATTAGAAAACAGAAACTGCATGTTCAATGAAGAAAAAGATAAGATCTTATAAGATAAAGAGATATAAAATAGCTGTTTCCACACACTGTTCTATGTTAATTTTCACTACTCACAGTTACTATTTAAACTACTACTAAGAAGGCTTTCTACTTCAAGAATTTTACATTTCATATAAAACCCAATGAAACACAAAGATGTATCAGTATCAAGTCACAACAGAAATAAAGGATTCAGTTACATTTAGATGCCCTTGATGTGCTAGTATTCTAGCTTCACTTATTAAGAGAAAAAGGGGAAGGACAATGTGTAAGTACTGAACTATTTAGCTAAATCCACTGAAATATGTAGAGATACTTTAATTGTGTGTTATTTTATGTAAGCTGTCTTGGAGATACTTTCTGAATTAAAATACACAGCAGAAACCATGGAACTAAAATAAATAATACTATATTGTGAAAAAGAATTAACTGGCGTTCTTTCCATTCACTCCTGCACAGTTTTGCTGTGGAATGGTCACTGCATTCAGTCCCCAGTTCTTATGGGTACTGTAGCTATTTTCACTCCAATGCATTCTTCCAAATGAAAGCATTTGGAAAGTCAGCTGCACACACTCTTCAGTCCTACAGGCAGAGTAGCCATGAGAATTGAGGGTCTACCAGATGAGCTGCTTTCCTGCCTCTCCTTTTCTACCGGGGGGGGGCAGCCTCCCCCCCCCCTTTTAAGCAAGAAGTAGCAAAAGCAACTCCTCCTCCTCCTCTTCTCCAAGCTGCGTGTCTTGCAGTGAGCTAAATAAATCGGACAGTGCCTTTGGTAGAACATAAGCAATGCAGGCACAAGAACAGTGAAAAGGGCAGTCCCATACCCCTCATTGGCTGTGCCTCCCAAAATATAACATGTGATTAGCTCAGTTCACTGCCAGTCAAAGTTATGAAAGGAAAAAAAATCCTTTTGTTTAAACTGGCATAGTCAACTGACCACCTGCAATGGTCTTTCATTTTGCCAGTGTGCTGCCTAGGAGAAGGAGACAAGAGTTTCTCAAGGTGTCATTTAGTTGCCATCCCAGATTTTCTCCCCATGATCATCTTTGACAGAATCACTGTTCCAGACAGAGTGAGGAGTCAGGTATAAAAACTTTGCCTCAGATGAGATATTCTGCAGTGACAACACAATGCCAATTGTCCTGATCAAGAGAACAGCAGCAACAAAAAGCTGCTCTGGCTCTTCGCTGCTCCACATAAATTTCTACAGATAACTGTAACAGTTAGGAGACTCATTCTACCACTTGACACACACTTTTGTCCCTACAATGTAATTAACTGATCTGAAATTAAGTTGTATTTCCCAACTATATTCAGGCATTTAGTTTTTTCAAACCTATTCTAAGGTATAAACAAGTTAATGTAATGTTATAAACAAGTTGTTAACTTTTAAAGAAGATAAAATTAGTCATCAGCCAAAAGACTTCTGGTGGTAGGTTCATTTTTGCTGTAAAAAAAGATGCCACTTACGCACACTGTGATATGCAATACAGTTTACGACTGTTAAATATTTTATAAATAAAGATGAACTTATATAATCTTCTGATCATTCTAGCTACAACTTTCAAATTTTATGTCAATTTTATTTCTTACAAGCTTCATACTACTCACCTAGGTTGACAACGCTCACAGAGGTATGTGTCAGGAATATGCTGCCTGTCGATCCCCATGCAATCAATATGCTGCCAAACACTTAGATGGGAATAAAAAATAAAAAAACACTTTCACTCAGTGTTCAAAGCTTTATAGAGTACTTTCAAGAGTGCCTCAATTATTGCTAATTGTTTTCCCCAAAGCTCCATTCCTACCATTTCATCCCATATTTAATACACCCATTTAATCCCTCATCATCCATTACTGCTTAAACAAGCTCCACTTCCATCAACATGAATCTTCAAAAACAGTAGACAAGATACTTCACAGCTGATATGAAGTTCAGATGCCCATGAAAAATGGGCACACAAGCCTTGTTGAATAAAGAGTTCCCCAACAAACCCCACAAAGTGCTCTCTGAGCTCTCCTTAAATTCCTGAAGTGGTCTGGCAATCTTAAATACAATTCTACAGAAAACTGCTGCCAATACACACATGGTATTATTTCCAGTCTTTTTTGTTAAATTGCTTTCATGCCTTGCTATTTTGCCATGCACCCCTTCTAGTCACATGACAGCTATTCCACCATACCAATGGCAAAAATAACCTAGGCCCTGGGAACCAGACCAAGGCTGTTCAACTCCTAGTCTAGCTCCCCACCACCCAGTGCCTCCCTCTTACCCTTCTGCAGGGTTAACAATGAGTTCTGAGCTGTGACCCTTCTCAGCATGACCCCCGCTCGCAGAGAGTCTTTGCTGGCTTGGCTGGTCTGTCACCTCCCCTGTCCATCCTGAAGGCAAAATGGCAGCTATCACAATGACAAAATGGTGATGGCTTCTATTTCTCTCCTATTTGCATAATGCCCTTTTAATGCCTACAATGTTTTGCTAAAGAGAGAAATGGTTCTGAGAAATTAGAGACAAGGAGGTCCAATATCAGAAGTACAGTCTAAAAATTTAAGAATGTCGCATATATGGGACTACTTTACCTGCATTTGTCACAACAGATCATATATCCATCATCATGTGTGAATCCACAAATGCACCTGGTTATATCAGTTCCATAGCTTCCATCTTCAGATGTGCTGATAGTAGTAGCACTGGAGGTCTCATCAAAATTTGGAGCAGTATATATGCCTACTTCATTCTTGCTTATAAGAACTGATGGAGGAGGAGATGCTGGAGGTGTTGGAGGAGGGCGGGCACCATAGTTATGGTCCTGGAAGGTAATATGTATCAAATCACCCACCTTATTTCAGTATTATTTTATATTCATGCATATTTTATATAAAATTCAAATATTTCTTCTCTTTTGTATAAAAATGCAGGTTTATTATATTCAAAGCATATAAATCAGTGATGGGAAATACATGGCCCTCCAAATATTGGCAGACTGCAACAGTCAATCCTTACTTCTGTGGAAGGCAGAACCAATCAGAAACAGACTTGTGTCCACATAAAACCAAAGGAACACTGCTTAGTATTGTACTTGGTTCAGCCAATACAGTATTTCTAGAACTATTTTAGCTAAGAAACTCAAGAGGTATTTCCAGCAAATTGTCTACTTACTGATGGGCACCATACAGACATGAACTTATATATCCTTTTATAGAATCTAGAACCCTCATTCTGAGTATTAAACTGGGTGGGACTGCTTGTTCCTTCCTTCACTAACCAGAATACCTTGTCAAAATAAATCCAGTTTTCCAGGGTTAGCAAGGAAGCAGAGCAGGCAGGAATAGGATATCTGAAAGCATTACACCTACACCAGTGGATATGCTTCTGTATGTTACAATACTTTTCTAGTGTTCCATGTGTGCTTGAGATATACCCACAGTACTCCACATAAACAAGTAGGTGCCACCTTTTCTCCCTAGTATGAGTTGGCCCTGTAAAAAAATAGGCAGCATATTCTCTTGGTCCACATGGCTCACAAAGCATACTTAGGCATGAACTAGGTGGTGAGGTCTCAATACCACCCAGTTGACAAAAAGGAAGGCAGCTCATACCTTGAAAGAGCCCCAAGTTCCCCTACCCATTACCTCTATCAAGAAATTGGTTTCCCACAAGTTCTTTAATAAGGATGATATGGAAAGGTTCATACAATGAGCCTACAAGGGCTTTCAGCACTGATGGCAAACATCGTGACAGTAACCAATTGACTATGGGTAGGGATATGAAAAATGCACCATGTAAGAAATATCTGCCCTCTGGGGAGCTGGAGACAGAAGCCTCTCCACATCTTTTAAAGACATTCCCAATGGCCACCACCTGCATTTTGAGAGTTGCTAGCTAGACTCTTGTTCAGGCCAGTTTGAAAAAACTCAAGTATATCTGGAATTCTTGCCTGTTCTCAGATTATTTGCAGTAACACTATCTTCTGAACATGTCGCATCATGGTTGTTAATCATGGAGATTCTACAGGTGACAAGAACAGTATTCACCAGTTCTGGAGACAACACATTCTAAGGGTTACTTGCTTCCATCCTCCAAGTGCAGAACTGACACTGGAATACATCCAGTGGACATCCTGTGATGCCAAAAGTGGGAGCCTCAATAATCGACTATGCACTCAAAAGCAAGCTCTCCCTCCATTGCAGGTCACCAGATTGAATATCCATTGCTGACTGATGTGCACTTTCACTGTTATTCTGTTGGTTTGACTTAGAACATGCTCTTGGCAAAACAATATTGGAGTAGGACTGCAGCATGAGCCAGACTGGTCTCAATACCAGGAAAGTGATGGGATAAACGACTTGGAGACCATGCTCCTTGGACACCCTTTGAGAGGGAATGTGCCCACTAGTATGAAAGAATGATATCTGTTGTCACTTTATTGAGGAGGGTTCACTGTGTCTGGTGAGCTGAAATGACCCATGAGAATAGGCATTCAAAGATCTCTGGTGGTAGTACCATTGTCATGCAGTGGTTAAATTCTACAAACTAGTTGGGAAGGTGAGCAAGTATTATTGTAGAATCTTGAAGTGCAATCTCACCTATGGCACTGAGTCTATCAAATTAATAATCAAGCTTGGTAGATGCACTATACTCATGGGCTGTGGAGAGGAGATGATGTTGCTTAAACTTTCCATTATCTTTCCTGTGACAGAAAATCCTTCTGTTTTGCTGTATCCCAAATGTAGTAACATCTGTGTTGGGGTGAGTTGACACTTTTTCTGATGCTCTATCAAGAATTTGGCCTTGTTTCACTGTTCCTTTGAGCTATGTTATGGCATCTACTTCCCTTTTTGCCCCTCCAAGCTCTTATGAAGGGTATAGGAAAAGGAGAATATCTACAAAAGAAACCACAGCTCCTATATCTAGTTTGGAAGTCACTGTACTTCTTGTGAAAAGCTGAACCAAGACCAAAATGGATTCCCTTTCATTCCATGTGATTTGTTTCTGACTGGATGTAGATATTAACCCTTTCCCTTCTACTCTAGCCCCTCATTGACCAAGAAGATCATGTATACTACATATGCCTATACTAAATGAAGTATTTAATCTCTAGTCGTAGGATTCTGGTATAGCTACTGATCTGGAAAGAGAATTTGGCTGAATGATAGCAAAATATTGTCTTTCATGTTTTATTCATTTTCTACTTTTGAAAAATGGAGAATGTTCCTTTTCCTGAATCTCCATTGTTTACCAGAGTTTTTTGATATTTACCTTTCAACATCTATTTCTCATTAACATCTATATCCAGGAAATCTGTCAGGTATCACTAAGCATGATGGCTAGTCAAGACTCTAGATACACATTCACATTCTTTAATCATAATATGACAAAGCAGAGAAGTTTATCTGAGTTGAATATTAAGAGTAATGTTGATATAAAGTATAAATATAGTAAACTAGGAGCAAAGCCATAATTCTTTCAGTCTTGGAGTACACTTCAAGTACTGGGCATATCTTATCTACTTGAACTAAAGACAACTCTTTCCCTTTATACATGGATAGTTCCTAGTGCCAGCTGTGCCATTTATCTATGAAATGAAAGTAAGACATTGACCTCATTGATGCCACATTCCAAAACACAGTAATCCTAACAACAGGTACACTGAGGGGATAAATGACAGGACAGGTAAAGGTGTAATCAAAATGACCAACCTGGTGCACCAAAATTATCCAAAAGAGATCATCAAGATATATCCACTTTTGGTATCTTAGATTACTAACGGTTTATTCACAGATCTATCTAGGAAACATAATATCTAAAATAATTTCTCCACAAGGTAAACCACATCCAAGCACCTTGATGCCACTGCAAACCAAGCTTCACCTGACTGGCTATTCTGATTACTTTAAGGAATGTTCTGAAGAAATCATATACCAGACAGGCAGATACAAACAATCCTTTTCATAACCCATGGCTTTGTTTAGTTTTGAAAGCTGTTTCACCCTTCAACATGCCATGCCACTCAGGTTCAGATGACAGGAAAAGCTATCGCTAAGCAACTGATTATGCAAATTACATTTGGCTCATAACAAGCTTTTTTGATTGTGTGTAAATATGGTCACTTCATGGTTATTTATTAACAACTTTCCCTAACAAGAAGTGAACTGCAATGGCAATCAAGGCAGAGATGCCAGATGGCCAGGCCATGGCATTGTACCTAAAATAGCTTTAAATTCAAGACTATTTAGAAGACAAGGGGAAAATATATATTTTGTTCAAAAAAACTATTCGTGACTCCAAGTATTAGAACCATGAGATACTCAAACCAGCCTCTTCTGTAAGAATCTTGAGATTTTACTATTTCAATGCCCAGATTCTGTAAGAAGCCAGAGAAAGCTATTTGAGCAAGATACATGTAGAGTTCTGATTACTGAAGAACCTTGAATAAATTCTTTTAAAAACTTACTGCATAAGGCAAACCGATGTAACTGTGTGAGTGATGAGAGCTGCTGTTATATAGCTGGTGTGGATAACTGTTTGACTTCTCAACTACCACAGGGCTAGCTTCTACAGATTCAGGTCTGAAAGGCAAGCAAGTTGTTAACATATTAAGATTTTGCATGTATTCATTCTTTATCTCATTTTCTTGTTTCATTACTGCTTAATAATTACTTTTTATGAGAAAGTACAAGATATAAAAATATAGATTGAAAGGTTCTGAAGCAATTAAGTGAAAAAATGTTTGGCAAAATGTCAGTTATAGCATTCATTCAAAATTGCTAGAGTAGTATGGGTGCATACTATTAAGTGAACACTAAATCAGTTTGAACAACGCAGATGCAATGTTGTGCAACACAATGCAGTTGCACAGAAATGACTGCAAGGCAGGAATATATTAGTATCAATAATACTTATTGTTTCTATGAACACATATGAAGCGTAGGTGTCTGTCCATATGCTGTTAACAGTATCTGAAACCTGAATAAATTTCACCAATGACATCTAGTGGTAGAATAAGCACAGCACCACAGATTTGCAGAAAAACTGGGTTTTTAACTTTATTATTACATTTTTATCCCAGCATTTTTGTTTTCCTTTTGCAAAGACCCCAGATGGCTTACATGATTCTCTTCCTCTCCATTTTATGTTTTCACATGCTTTTGTTTTGAAAGACTAAGAATAATCCCTAAAGAGGCTAGGGCCTGGGAAACCATAACTGCTTTTGGCTCCCTCTACCTCAATTTTACGCACATGTTGCATATGAGCTTTCTAAATTTCACTCTAAAATATTTTCCCAATTAGTACCAGGCTACATAAGTGTAAATAGCCTAAAGGAAGGAGGGGAACCAATGTTATAAAGAATGTTATAAAAATTCTTAACTGAAAAAAATAATACATACTAATTTGAGATTTTAGTAAATGAAGTGCCATTAAATAATTTAAAAATGACTTTTAATATTCACAAAATTTTAAAAGCTGTAATTCTGCCAAAGCAGACTTTGATGCATATTCAAACACAACTGAAGTTAGTCATACAAGTGATGAAAAATAATAAACTAAGAAATTTAATTTTTTAATCCATCTGCTTTTGACTTTTAGTGAAGTATAGCAAACTGATTCTCTGTATATACCTAAAAATTGGCAGCAAACACTATATAGATTAATAAAGCATAAAGTAGAACCAACTTTACTATAATACTTACTCTGAGCCTGCAGCCATTTCCAAATATGAAGTTTCTGCTGTATCAACCCCCAATGGGACCACTATGCTCATGACGTTCGTTTCTGATAAATTCGATTACTATGGAGTTCTATGCATTGGTATCCAAAACACTGGGGCATGCCAGCCACAGTGCTCATTGCAAACATCTAAGTGCATCCACAAACTCTGTTAACAAAACAAAAACAAAACAAGATTTTAGTTTAGTTATTTTGAAATAACAACACATATTAAAACCGCTTACCTCTTTTCTTCCATTATGAAAGCAAAGTTATTTAAGACTGAGAAGCTTATTTACAGTGCGATGCTAAGCATGTCTACTTAGATGTAATTCCCACTAAATTCAGTGGTACTCATTCTTTAATATGTGTGTTTAGAATTACAACCTCAGCACTTAATATAGGTAAACATGCTTCATCCAGATTCTCTTACATATATTAGATACTGAGATCAGCTCCAAATAGTTCTGGTTAATAAGTGCATAATTGCAATATGTCCACAGAGGCAAAAATGTGGAAGACTTCATATATGTTCATTTGTGAATTTAAATATGTAAATATGGGGGGATAACTGTGGTTTAATAAGTTAGAACAGGAGATTTCTTTAACACATAAATATAGTATAAATAGAAAACTATTTAAGATAGTGAGTCTTCATTTAATTAACTGATGGTTTAAAACTCAGTGTAACTTACTCTCAGGTAAGTTGGCTTAGGATTGTACCCAAGTGAGCCAGTACTACTGATGGAGGTGGGAACATCCAAAGGAGAAAGGACTGCCTTATTGTAACCACCTCATGTTGGCAAGGTGGGAGGAGCAATAGGGTGATGGTAGTAGGGAAATATATGTTCTTGGATGATTTCCCTCACACTGGTTCATGCAGATCCAAGGTTTCCCTGGGACTACAGAGTATCACCTGAATAGTTTTGAACGAATTTAACTGACCCCAACATAAACCCATTATAGACATTCACTGTAAAAGCTACCTAAATAGTAAGTATTGAGTAATCTATGCAGCTTCATTTCCCTTTATTCTAGTTTTCATTTCTCATACCCCTTTGAATCAACAAGGTATCTTTTTGAAAACCTAACATTTAGAGAGAAGTGGGTTTATACTTAGTTCTGCCATACCAAAGAAAAATTAGCTGCATATCACTTAAAAGCATTATATAATGCTGATGGCTTAAGGAGGACAGTAATGTTGTTTAATTAGATCAAATTATATTTCCAAAGCCATTTGTAATGCCATTTCTAGCTCAATAGGTTTTATATATGTGTGCGTGCTTGACTACTACTTGCAATAAAAGCTTCAGGTTTGGTTGTTCTTTTTATGTGTAATGTATAGGTATGCCTGCTTAATAATGTTTTATATACACTCATGCCATAGGCAGTTTCCTGTATGAAACAAACCAGCTGTTTTTAGGAGACTGAAAACAACTTGAACACATTTTCCTCCAAATGAGTGTGCAGGTATCCTTTTTTTTAAAAAAAAACTTGAGATATGTAAGTTGTTGTTTTGTTAATTTAGCCAGTAGAGGAAAATTCTGTTACAGCCCATCAGTAAAGTGGGCTACAACAGGAGCACTGAAAGTTGGGCCGCTTATGAGTCTCACTTGGGTTTAATTTTTTTAAAAAATGTTGTACATACTTTACAGCTACAATAAACTATTTTGTAAATAAAGATATCCGTTCAAATGTAATATTTCATCAAGTCTCAGAGTAAGATCTTGCTCAGTCAATGGTGCTGTAAATAGAGCCTGTGGAATTAAGAATTTAAATTCACTGTGCCCACTCTCCCAGCTTAGAAAACATTGTCTAATTGTAAAATGGATGGAAAAGGATATATAAGCACACCTAATGTGACTGAACTATTTCATTGCTTACCATCTGCTCTGACTGCCTCAGCAGGAATGAAACTGACACATCTGTCAGAAAAATGCAGAATAGAAAAGGTTGGTTTTCTAAGCAGAGAAAATCTTGAACTGAAGAGGAGACACTAGTTACTTCAGAAGTGTGCATTTCAACATACTTATGGGTTTACAACTAATGGGTTAGAGCCAGACTTAATAATGCTTAATGGAGACCCACTGAAATTAATGGGACAAGTTGGTCTTCATTAACTTAAATCTCACTGATTTCAATGGATCTTACCGTAATCATGACTAAATATGTATTAAACCCAATTCAACTTTTTGAAGTATTTTCTTGCTGGTTCAAAAAAAAATAATACTCTCTGAAACTAGAGACTGTTTTTGTTTCTATGTTCCACAGTAGCCAAAATGAAATGAGGAATCTAGGGGAAGCTGACGTAATTATGACTAGGATTTTGCTCGGCTGTAATGATGCTTAGCCAACCAAAGTACTTCTTGAGAAACAAGTCTCACTTTGAACACACACACGCACACAAGGTTCCTATTAAAGGTAATTAAAGTAGCAGAAATCTTTCTTCCTTTGTAGCTGAATTTAATACAGATTTTGTACTGTAACACATCAAATAAAACAACTTATAGTAACATAGCCTTTCTCGCCACAAAAATATGCCTTCCTTCATTTTCCAACATTTGACTAGGGGAGCTTGAGAACTGAGTCTGACAACTGCTTGACAGAGGAGTGGTCACTCTCGAGGGACAAGTGCCTAACTACAGGGATGTAATGATGAAAATGTACAATCTTCTTAGTGATCATCAAAATTCTTTCAGAACACCCCCCAAACCCCTCCCCAACCCTTCTAATAAGCTGACTGTGTTCATCACAATGCCTAACCAGAGGAAAATTAAAAGCAGATTTTTCTCCAAAAACTTTCAGATTGCCAAATCTTGAGTCACATCAAGTAAACCTAAGAACATGTGGATCAGTCAGTCCTGATTATTAAATCCCACATACTAGATATATTTGTGCAAATGCAGCCTAAAATGACACTGTTAGGCAGCTGCCCAATTTATCATAACCATAGTAAAGTTTTCTAAATAATTTCTAATCCATTTGCTAAGGTTTATGGTCTAATTGTGCATCAAAGTCATTAATGAAGATAAGCTGCATTGCATTCAGAACTGTTCCCTGTGGAATCCCACTTGATACCTCTTTCCAGTTTGATGCTGATCCATTCATTACTACTGTCTGGATGAAGTTGTTCAACCAATTGCAGTAACTCATCTTTATTACCTGAAAGCAATAGGCATCTCATAACCATATTGTTAATGTCAAATAGCTCTAGAAGCTTAAAACTAGCCTGCACAACTATATTAGTAACAATAACTTTAATCATGCTTTGACAGTCATCTCAAACATTTCAAACAAGGAAATAGTCATGCTATTCATACTGTTCAGTCATACTATTCGTGATTTAAACTAATATTTACTGCATAACAGTATACCAACATACGGGCTTGTAACTGAATTTGCTGACGGACCAGTACATAGAGACAGTATGAGGCATTGAACCAAGACAGCATAGTTCTTTCTGTATCAGGCAACACAGGCTATGGAAGGAAGGTAAAGAAAGTCAAGTGAGGAAAAGATAAGCAGTCTGGAAAGAATAAGAGGATGGGGCGCCACTGCTACACAAACATCCCATACATCTCCATTTTCTATCATTTCCTCATCCTATTCTACACACAAATTTCTGGAATGAGGTGTTACAGTTACCCAGCCTCCCAGTAGAAGAAACAGAGAAAGGAAAGTGAAAAAAGCAGATCCATCCAGCCTCAATCTGAGGCTGCACTGGTCAGAAAGCAGCTGGTGCAATTCTTTCTGTGTCAGCTTCAAGAGGCAGGGGTCAGAGTTCAAATTCCCTGTTTTAAGGCTGCAGAGCTGTCTTTGACCTCAGAGCTAGGAAATAAAAACTGCTGTGGCCCCTCAGGCACTGTCTCCAAGCCAAAAGATTGCTTCCTTAGTTATAGAATGTTATTTTTTTTACTTTAATCCACATTTGCTTTAATCCAGTTTATACTGTCTGCCATCATGCCCATGTTACTATCCAGTATTGTGTGGTTAAGTGCCTGAATTATGAACTGGGAAATTCAGAATTTGACTTTTAGTTCACCAGTGAACTCACTGGGCAACCATTGTCAAGCTGCTATCTCCCAGCATCCGTTTGTTTCATATCTGCAATCCAGGGGCAGCAATACCTACCTAGTTTATAAAACACTTCTAATTATAACTAAATTATTATATATGAAATGTTCTGAACACTCAACAAGCATTATATAAACGCTATTATTATTAGCAATGTGAACAAAATTCAAAATTAGACTCAAAAGTTATGTTCTATGTGGACCAAGCCTGAATAGATATCCAATGAACTTTGTTATTCAAATCAAAATGGATTATGAGTACCTACCTGAATAGTCTGCATGACTTTTGTATCAGTCCTTTACTACTCTAGAAAACTTTATTTTGTGCTTGTAGCAAATGGGCTGTCCTCAGACAGTTGTTTCAGTCTGACAGGCAAGGCACACTGCGGACTGACCATGTGACCACACCAGCACATGTCACATGGCCATTCCAGGAAGTGCTATCTGGAAGATACATTATATGAAGGGAGCTGGGGCTGCTATGAACAAATAAACTTTCAAAAATAAAAGGTGGGGTGACTGTCAGGCAGGAAAAGTGGAAATGTGTGCTTATGTAATAGTTTGCATGTACCAAATGAGAAACTGGTATAGTGGAGAACTTTCCTCTAGAATAGATGTGGCCTTTATTGACAGGTTTCTTTCCCATTCCTAGACAGATGAAGAACCCCTTTTCCTCTTCTCAAACACCACTCCATATCCTACCTCTTTCTTTCTTACATCTTTTCTGAATAGACTGTGCCTCTTCAGGAATACCTAGTTTGCTGGTATTCCTTAAACTAGTTTCCCAGTTTGGACATTACAGAAAACTGTGGTTAAGAGCCAAACCACAAGTATTCACTCCAATTTTTCAGCTAACTAGAATTCCCCACAACATCAAAACTCAAATACTCCGGTTTGTTTAAATTATGATTAGTGAAAAAGGCAGGATAATATAACAATCTGATCTTGGCTTTTTGGAATTAATCAGAATGGAAACATACCAAAGTTCCCTTATTTCAGATGAAGCAGAAGCTCCCTTTTTTGCATGTACCATACAATGGGAGGGTGATCAGTGTTCAACACAGAGGTCCGACACAGCTCACTTGCATAATACTATACCATTGTTTCGTGCTATGTTGGAACTGGGCAATGACTTCAATCACATACAAATCACAAGGAATTCTTAGCTTAACTCCAATTGTTTTCTTTCTATCAGTGGAAACTCCAATTAAAACTAACTGAAATTACCTCCCTCCAGGAGAAAAGATGATAATTCCATATTAAGCTATACTGGAGAAGATTTAGCCTGACTTTGGCCTATATGCATTCTCATTCTGAACATGAACTTACTATCTGAAGCCAGTAGACTGTAGAATCTGGAAACATGAAATGATCACAATGTTTCATTTCTATTAGTGGTTTCCAAACATTCTACTCTCAGGAAACCTTTGTTAAGAAACTCCTATGCATCTGCATAGGATATGTGTGACAGAAGATTCTTGGGCACATTCTAGGGCAAACTCTTAATGCATACCAGGAACCAGACAGTTCCTTTAGGCTTTTCCCTGTCCCATATAAATTGACAATGCAGTGTAGAATGCACTCAACACTCTTGTATGACCAGTTAGGTAATTAGTAAATAATGAAATATGGGAGAGCCAGTGTGGTGTAGTGGTTAAGAGCCTGGGACTGGGACTCAGACGATCTGGGTTCTAGTCCCCGCTCAGCCATGGAGCCAACTGGGTGACTTTGGGCCAGTCACAGACTCTCAGCCCAACCTACCTCACAGGGTTGTTGTTGTGGGGATAAGATGGAGGAGGAGATGTAAGCTGCCTTGAGCCCTTTGTAGGAAAAAGGCAGGATATAAATAATAATAATAAAAAAAGATTTTGTAAAATCTCCCTTGATGGAAGGGAAAGTCTGTAAGCCTTATCAAGAATATATGAATTTTGGAGGGGGTATGGGTATAAGTAAAATTCATTGTATTTTGTTAATTGTTATAATATATCAAGTTAAATGGAGGTATTATCCGGTTTCCTGGGAAGTGGGTGCACGATGTTTATTGTTATTTTTAGTTATCAGTTGGGTTGTAGATGCTAATATTATTGATACATTTTGATCTGCATTGTATCTCAACTGATTGTATTTATGTTCTGTAAAAAAGGAAAAAAGAAAAAAAAGAGTTAGGTAGTTTATTTTTATCCAACCTTTTTTCCTTTCAATCGTTGCAAAATAAATCCAAAATGGTGCACTTAGTTCAAGTGTCTTTTCAAGGAAGCTTATCCATCATGACTGATCTTCTCACTACGGAACCCCTGAGAAGTTTCTAAAGAAGTGTAGGATTCCCTTGACCAGAAAAGAAAAGAATAAAACAAACCTGTATCAAGGACATTCAAAGTCTCTGTATGGTGCTGATTTAGAATACTATATAGAGAAGGTGCACCAAAAGGAAGCTATATAGAAATCCTATTACACTTTATTGCAATGGTCTTTTCCTCTTCATTTGAACTATTATGCTGACTGAGAATAGAATCGGAAACATGGCATTGTAATGAAGCAAGAAGGATCACAACCAGAAATGCATTGATGACTGCCATGAGGAAAGAAAAATGTTCAGATATAGGATACTGTTTATTTATTGAGTCTAAAGAATTCATCTTGAATTGAAGCATTCATTGAATTGAAGCATTCCCTGACAATGATTAACTTTATTGTGCAATCCTATGCATGTTTAGGCAGAAAAGGTCCTACAATGTTAATCAATGTCTAGCAACCATAATTGGCTTTATGGTATTTATTGGCAATCATTTGTTTCTTAACATTTTGAGGAAAGTGAATTTTTCCCCTTTCTTATGAGAGAATATGAAATTCAATATCAAAAACTCAAAAATTACATTAGAAATTAAGGCAGAGCGGTCAGTTAATAAAAAGTTCTTTAAAAAAGAATGTAAAAAGCCAGTCCTGTAACATGAAAACAGTAAATAGCTGGTTTCTACAGCTCCTTCCACTTAACAGCTATAATAATAATAATAAATAACAACAACAACAACAACAACAGCTATGTACTGGCCACCACTTCTGAGAATCTCAAATGATAAAATAACAACTGCATGAGTGTAAAATTTACTGTCAATATTTTTCTTCACAAAAATATTGAAAAAGATAAAGAACAGTTAATTTACTGTCATGTGTTTCTATTTCAAATATTTATTAAACTTTATACCCAGTGTTTTTGTGTCCGACTTTCTGACTGCTTTGATAACATCTGAGGGAAACTATTATTCAGTACTGTACTACTTTGCTTTTTGATACTTGAAAAAGTTCAAATTGCTATCTGCACTCAGCAGACTTTACTGTACTTTCATTTCTTTTGTGCTTTATGAGTATTAACAACTAACAGCACAGATGCACATTTCAACCAAGCATTTCTAGTTAAGAATTCTGTGTATTGCACACCACTGAAACATTCATTTTTACTGGAACAGAGCATCAACTAAGACATGTTTGTTTTATTCCCTCATTCCTGCATTACTTATGCTCAATGCCTCATCCCTACTTTACTTATGTTCAATGTCCCCCTTCCTATTTTCATCCCCTTCTCATGGCTAAACAGAAAACTTCACTTCATAGATGTTGGGAATGGAGCTCTGGAGGTAGGCAGGCAGTTCAGCAGAGAATCAGCCTATGAGCAAAAGCTTGCTCTGATTCAGGAATCAAATGAGTGTCACATGATCTTTGCTGGGCTGGAGGCTGCAGTAATACAGTCTAACAATGTGCAGTAATGGCAGTGTAGCACCTTAGAGATCAGGTCAACAGTTCTCTTAGCTTATAATCTGCTATGGTAATATGGGGGATGGGAAAGCCTGGGACTAAACTGTATTTTATGTAAATTAGCTCCCTTCAGTTGACTATCAGTTGAGTATCCTATGGTAAAAGATGTGTATCTGCTCCTGGATGGTCTCTACCCTTTCCTCAGAAAAGAATAAAGGAAACTAAGGATTGAGAAACTACAGGTAGAGACAGAGAAATGAAGAAACAGGCATACTGCTTTAACCTTTAAAAATAATAATTGGTACAATGTACAAAAAAAAGTCAAATGAATCGAAGAAA